AACATGTAAGTATTTATGTTTAAAACACTTTCCAGTACGCGTATTGAAATCAAACATGTTTAAAATTTAAACGCATTAAAAAAGTGTGACAAGAATGTGTTTAGAAATGTGTCTATCATCTAAACACATTTTTTAAAGTGTACTCAATCTCTGTCCTGGGGTCTCGTCTCAGTATTAGGTATAGTAATTATAATGAACAAAATATGTATAGGTACTGTAAACCTTTCTCAATCGTCTCTAGATGTCTATAATAAGTGATTACACAAAGAGATCGGCGAGAAAACGTTAATCGCAAGCATGGCTTTAAAATTGACCAATGACATAATATACCCTCAGGATAAGTAAGGACTTCTAGAACATAAGTAAAGATTAAAACCAAATGATGTTGTAATGTTGTATTAATGATGCGCGCAAAACTCCACGAAAACGAAATGCTGGAAAACGCTGCGCGATACTAAAAATAAAATATATATAGGGTGAATTCACCATACATCGGACACCCTCGCACTTCAACAAGTTCTAGCGATATCGCTACCGACCGAATATCATCAAAATGGAACTTAACATGTAGTATGTAGTTAAGATATCATTTTTTGACACAATCGTGTGCTATTTATTGAGAAAATACCACTAAAAACCGATTTTTTCGAAATAAGTCAGAATTCACCATGGATTCGGACAATATTCACCATGCATCGGACATACGGTATTTAAACAAGAAAAATATCATACTTTGATTTCGATGCTTTAAAATTAGTGATATCGGAGCATTTTTATCTTTTATTTAAAAATTAACCTTCTAGTTAAATTTGAATGACTATTTCGATCCACAAATGTGAAGAGATTTTAGTTGCATCATATTGCCTTAGAAAGGCTTTACAATGCTAGTTATATGGCAACTCGCGCCTTTGTCTCGTGGGTTATCATCTTACATAGGTGCTCCCAATATATAACGAAGTTTTTTTGGATCCCCGGCAAATTCTTAACAAATGGTACGGTTATAACGAACTCTGATATAACGAATTTACGGATATAGCAAACTGATTTTCTGTCACGTAGAGGTTAAAGATAACGAAAATTACATAGTTTTTATCGAATTTTCAATATCTTAAACTTCAAAATATTAAATTGAAACTAATTTTTATAAGTATTTAGATTTGAAATTCAATTTGTCAGAAATATTTAGTGCCCCAAGTAAAATGTTGTGTTAAATACCTCCCTGAAAATATTTGGTATTCATACTTGAAGGATAAGATGCACATGGCGAATACGTTCATTAACGAATTATTTTTAGGGGTATAACGAATTACGGATATGTAGCGAAGTAAATTCACAGGTCCCTAGGACTTTTTACTGTACGTGTATAGACATGTATAAATGTCTACCCCTCTATACTATAAAATCAACGATTTCGTAGTACAGAGGGGTGGTTATACCCAAAATCTGGGATCTTAAAAATTCCGTATCAATGCTACAAACATGAACCATTTGTAAATAGTTTTATTTATTTGGAAACACATTTCACACAAGATAATTTATCATACACGAAGCGAAGGGAAAGATTTGTCGTTTATGTCAAAATATTAATAGTTTTCTTATTTATATTTTGCATAAAAACAAATTAAATTCATAACAAAACATGCAATAATAATATAATATTTCAAACTACATCCATGAATAAAATCCAATACAAGTTTATGTATTATACAACAAAAAATATTTTTGAATTTTCAAATAAGATTACCGGTGAGTTTGTTGTCATTTACTTTTTTTTATTTCCTTATATAATCTTGCAGGTAAGTAGTATTCACAGAGTATGCCTGCCCCCTACTCCCCCCGCCCACCCCCCACCCCCCCCAAAAAAATAAAAATAATGCTTTATTGTTAATTTATTATTAAAATGATCATTGAAAGGCATTGTCTTTCCCCCTTTTTTTTTTTGTAGGTGAGTTACATCATCCAGGTCAATGTATTTTATAATTTGCCTTATTAATAATGTTTGAATACCCCCTCTTTTTTTTCAAACGAAATCGAATTTGGGAAACATTTTTCCTCTTTTTAATTGTTTAAACGTTAATATATTATCCTTTTTTTTTTAATTTAATTGCCGCATATCAAAGTTTTTCTCAGGAGAGTTGTCACTTATCCCCCACCACCATCCCCAACACGTTAAAGAGCAATACTACGTGTCTGACCTTGTACTAGTACATAATCAATAAAAAAAATATTAAGGTGAGTTATCAATCTCAAAGAATTCTTTTTAAAAAGCAGTACAAATGTGAACATGGCATAAAATACAGATACCCAGGAGAAGGAATCCTCCTTCGAGTTGTCAACTGAGTGAGCCCGATATATTTTAGTCTTTACATATAGGCACTTCCTGCATGTAGTGTACGGATATTTCTAAACAAATTAATAATGCTATTAAAGAAGCAATAAAACGGTTGTACATGCTATTTTATTTTTGATAATCTTATCCTATACATGTAAATTATTATTTTCTTTGTATCTATTATGCCTCAAACAAAACTTTTGAAACATTCTTCAGCTTTATTTTGTGTTGTAAAATTTACATGTAAAAAGACGTGCAAGGTGTTTTTCTTTATTGAAAAATGAATAGATAAATAAGTAAAATAAAAAAAATTAAAAAGCAAAGGAAATAACGAAAAAATAAATAAACAAGGAAATGACGAAAAAATAAATAAATGTCTTGCTGCAAAATATATTTTTGATTTTTTTTAAGAACTGAGGGCACCACCACCCCATCCTCCCTTTTCGATTAAAAAAAAATCCAAAACAACTATTTCCGGAAGTGATGATGGGATGAGGTTTGAAAAGTGTTTTTTTTTAAGGGTTTGGGTTTATATTAGAAATGCTGTACACTTTATATATGAATTGATGATCACGTGATTAATTAATATTCATTATTGTGATATTTCTAAAAAAAAAATCCTCATAATTTAATAATGAATATTCTTTTTTGAAATTAAAGAAATATAAACTTGATCATATTTTTTCATCATGTTATGTCAACATTCAAGTGTAATAAATTCCCTGGCCAAAACAACTGTGTTTCCCCCACTCGGAGGCTCATTCAATCTGTCTAAATTCTGGCCTAAATATAGTACAACTTACATACTATCACGTTATATGAGGAAGTAATCAGTCAGAAAACGGCAAATATTTCTAAATGTACTTGACAAAAGTGTTTTCAGCTCTTTCATCACATTTTTCCATATCAAAGTAATGAAGCTTCGATTCAGATTCTCAAACTCAAAAGGAACCATCAACTTTTCGTCATTTTGTAAACCGATCCCGAACACAATAACGGATAGAACCATATGAGGAAGAAATTATTCCGAATTGATGATATTTTCTTTTTACACCATTCCTCCATATGCATTATAAATTCGTTATTAGGGACCATTACCATTATTCAACCTATGCTACAACAAAAAGTATGTGGGGGCCGGGGGGAGGGGGGCAAACAGCCTTTCAATGAACATTTTCAATAGTAAAAGGCTATGTTTGAAAGGTAAAGGAAGTCCCACTTAACCCACCAACCCCCCAGTCTGATTAAAATCAAACCTTTACTAGCTCTTTTTTATTTTAATTGTCACGCGACAGTCAAAATAAAAAGGAGCTAGTGAAGGTTTGATTTAAATCAGACTGCCACCCCAACACCCCCCCAACACCCCCACCCCCGATCTTACGTGCCTAAATTGACCTCCATTGCTGGGAAATACAATAGTCTATAGGCCTAAAGACTGCATCTTTAGGGTTAAACTGCAACTTTCATGTTATTTAACCAAACAATATCGTTTGCATCACCCCAGGGTAGATTATTAATACCGTAAAAAAAAATTATAGCAACACTATTGAAAACGCTACAGGCTAATCAATATGATGTAACAAATTCTGAACGCAGTCCTTTCTTTAAAAAGAGCCCGCGTTTTACATTGCTCGCCTGATAATCAAAAAGGCCAGATCATCTGATAACCATAAAACGCCGAAGGCTTTTATGCATAAAATTATCACGCGAACAAACTCATTGTTCATCATCATTAAAAAAAAACAGTTTTTCTTTTTATTTACATTTTTATTTAATCCTCATTCAATAAAAAAATATCTCTAATTCAATTATATCTGCATTTTAAATGTCTTTGTCCGAGATAAAACTTCAAATAGTAAAAATACTTGATTTCTACATAAAGCTACAGGTTCATCGATAGGCGTGGTTTAAAAAAATCAGTCCGGGTGGGTCAGAGAGAGAGAGCGATAGAAGTAGGTGGGGTTTGTAGCACGTGAATTTACGGAATCAAGAGCATGTAAATACAAGGAATAACTGTCAGATTTTTGGGTTTCATGACGATGATCAAGCAATTGGCTAATCTGATAATTTTATGCACAAACGCCTTCGGCTCACAGATAGGCGAATTTAAAATGGGGCGAATTCAAGGAAAAACAGTACAATTTCTTATATAGAAATGTGATTGGGGGAACTTAAAACGGGGCAAAATTGTTTGCAAGTGTGAAAGGGCAAAAAATACACGGGGCGAAAATAACCATGAACTGTATACAGTAATAAGGAGCATTTTTTGAATCAAGACATTTTTTGTACATTCGACTCAACAAGGCTATCAAAGGCAGTGAACTTATCTCAGGAAATCAAAAATTATTAGTGCAGTAAATTGAGAGATGCGAATGCGTGTCAACAAATTTGTGATTAAACGAAGTTATCCATTATTATGAAACAAATTTATTCGGCAGTCTGGAGTAAGCAGGAGAAAATTATTCTTTCGAGCAATCTTTGTATTAGCAAAACAAACTCTGCTTAATATATTGGCATAAAAAGCTGAATATTTAACCAATACACGTGTTATCCTCTCCATGCGACCAATGATTCGGATTATTAATTAAATTAATGTACATTTAAATCAGACTTCAACTTCCATTTTGGATGACTATTGCAAATGTTTCTCTAAAAAATCATTTACAGCATGGAGAATACGACGGCTCAGGAAAACACAACAACTCAAACAAACCAAGAATGTTTGGAACTCACAATTGCGCTCTACATTGACCAAGGGATGGCTTTATATGCGGTAAATATTTAGCTCCTCAAATTGTTAAACGTCGCTCAGGCTAAACTCTGCATTATGACTGCAAACTACTCTGTAAGTATTCATCGCATGAAAAAAACAGTAAGAGAATTAACAATTTAAACTCATGGATATTTGTCATGACAAAATTTTGTTAGATAATGATGATAGATAAAACTAAACGAAAACAGAAGAGGTTTGCGATTAAAAGACGGTAGGACTGCTTATTCTTTATCTGATTTTTTGTAGGTAAAATTTCTGATGTTGTACATTTAATGTAGGATCAAATACAATCCATCCTTAAAAAATGTTGTTATACTTTCATCCTAACAGATCGTGGCAACAGTTATCATAGCTTTTGTCGAAAAAAGACGATGTAAGGCAGAGGTTTGTTATGGTAGACCAGGACTTCCACTGTGAGTAAAATATTGTTAGAATGATAGAACCGAACCCCAACTGATAATACATCCTTAATTCAGATATGCATTGATATAAATATCATCAGTAAATGATTTATATATTTTTGTTCAAATCCACATTTTAGTAGATATTTTAAAATTTTTATAAACGACACACTTAAAAAAAATTTTACTTTTATAAAATTCTCTTTTTTCTTCCTGTTCTTTATTCAGCCCAATAAATTTCCTTGACGGAACCACAAATTCCATCGCCAATGCTGCAGCTTTTGGATGCACGCTACAACACATATTTTTTTTTTATTTTGTTTGGACGTATATACCACACAACTACGAGATGGTTGTTGGGTATGTATCACCGATTCAGCAATATTTCCTACATATCCTCAACAGGTATCTTTTTGGTGTTTGACTCTGATTGTTTTTATGCCCCCGTAATCGAAGATTCGAGGTAATATAGTTTTTGGTATTTCTGACTGTCTGTCTGTCTGTCTTTCTGCAAAAACTTTAACCTTGCCCATAACTATTGATTGATTAAAGCTAGGGCTTTCATATTTCACATGTGTATTCCTTGCGACAAGACTTTTCTTCTGGATATCAACTTTATCTTTAATTTTACCAGAACTTTTGAAGGGTTTGAGCGAGGACTTTTCATACATAATATGTATACTGAAACGCAAAAGAAACGTAACATCCTATTTCTATTCAACTCTGTGAATATCGGTAATTTAACGGTTGAATGATTTTCATACCATTACCGGAAGTTAAGTTTGAGTCCGCTTAACAGAAATCAAAAATTGCATGTTTAACAAAACGTTTGGCAATAATATGGGGTTTTAATGGTTTGTATCTGTTCATTATGAATAACGCAGCAATATTCCGAAAAATAAGTTAGCCTTTCTTTTCTGTAAGCTATGCCAAGGCTTCCTGAAAAAGAATTAAGTACGCATTTCCATTGCTCTAGCTGGAGAATCTCAAAATAAAGGTGATGGTGAATTGCAGATGCAAATATACAATACATCACGCCTCAAGAAGCTCTTACGTATCATTAGCATGAATGACAGTACACTGCGCCAGGCTAGAGGAAATTCGACCTTGTCATCTTAAAAACGGGCATTTAAAAATGGCAAAGAATAGTTATTTCGCTCAGATCTCGAGATTGATGAACCTATTGCATCGTAGAAATCAAGCTGCAATTGTTGTGCATACAGTCTTGCACGCTGTTATTGAATGGCCGGGGTGGGGGTGTTTTAACAGTCATTAATTACTTTCTAAAGTTAAAAGATAATCATTTAACATTTTTATTAAATCTATGATGTTTTTAAATCGAGTTTAACCTTACTGTATTCATTTTTGAAAATCATTAGATAAAATATTCAAATATTTGTAGATCACTGCTTGTTGCGTTTCTTTTGCGTTTCAATATATAATTATTCTTCGTGGTAAGACCTTCCCTTTGGTACCAACAAATTTGACCTTTTGACATTGACCTTGGAATTTGACTTACTTTTGATAAATTTTATCCTTGACAATAAAGCTTTGAAGTTGGAGCAAGGGTTTTAATATTCCGGGTGTATTTTTTTTTTGTTAAATGACTTTCCATTGCGTACTAACAATTTTGGTCTCTTCACTTCGAAGTTTGACTGACTTTTCGAAAAAAAAAAAATTGATCTTAGCCATAACTTTTGAAAAGTTGGTGCTGGGGCTTTCATATATCACATATGTTTTTCTCGTGAACAGAACTTTCTTTGGGTACCAACAATTTTGACTTCTTGGCCTTGCCCTGGGAGTTGAATTACTTTTGAAAACTCTATCTTTGGTCATAAATTTTGAAAGCTTTGTGCTGGGGCTTTCGTATTTCACAGTTGTATTCCTTGTGGTAGGACCATTTTCTTAAGTACAATATTTTTTTTTTACCTCGTTGCCTTGACATAAGTTTGACTAACTTTTTGGTTTATATGTATTTATATGTTTGAACATTTGAAATAAAGAAATGATACCCCTCACCCAAGAATCTATGTGCCTTTATGTTATATTCATATGAGTGGAAATCAGGTGCAAGTGAAATAACTTTCTAAAACTATTTGCATCAATTTGGAATTTCCCTATTTATTTTTGGTCCAATGTAGAATAAATAATTCCTTATATTGACCTGGAAGGTCACGTGCAGGTCAATATAATGTAGTATTTTTTCTAACATTGTTGGATCTCAGCCAGTCAGAGAGATGGGAATTATTCAATCATATAATAATAACTATTAATTGTATTAACACTGACGTTCAATTAAAATGAATATTTTTTGCTTTTTTTGTTTTTTAAGCACCAAAAATTTTCCTTGTTTGCTTTTTGATGTCTATGGTATATTATCCTATATTTGCTTGCTTGAATTCACCGTCTCGTCTAGTTGGATCTATCATTGGGTTTTTCTATACCATATTTTTGTGAGTATTAAAGAAATTAATATTGTGAACATCTCTTAAATTGCAATCGTTTACTTATTTGGTTCGATGTTACATGTACCTTCATTTGCCTGTATGGTTATACATAAAGTGTTTCTCTATTTCGACAGGTTCTTGGTTGTTTTACTTCAAAATTACCTCTGTAACGAATCAGACTGGGTAAGATGATATAGGCGTCGTAATAATTTGAAGCATTTCTTGTATAAATCTGCTCTACTTATTAGTCTGTTTAAAGAGTAGATGTTTACAATACCTATATTTTAATTACAGGAATGGGCTATATATGCCATCGTTTTAATTTCTGAGATATATCTGCTGATGCTCTTCATTTACCGCATTGTAACAGCACTGTGTAAGAAATCTACCAATGTAAGTACATCAAGCAGTATTCTAGGCATGATACATGTTTAAAAATTTGTGCTCAAATTCAGATGATATTAAAAAGAATTATTCTTTCTTACAATTGTATACTTTAGCTGAAGAAACCTCTAGTAAAGAATGACCAGTTGATGCATGTCAAAGATCTACTTCAGAGACCAAAGAGTACTGCCGAAGAAATCAACATGAAGTAGTTTTATATATTTTCCTTTATTTTAAATTCAATGTACATGTAGTTTATTCATCTGAACTGATCAGAATATTTCATTACAACAGATTTATTTCCATAAAAGTTTTAAGGTACAGTGCGTTTCTTTGGGACTTTTCTAAAAATGAGTATATCGCCTACACTGAAGGGCCATGTTGTTTAATACAGGATAAAAGAATTGAATACTAGTATATAACCTTTTTATTTATCCGTATACAAATTAGATACTTTCAATGCTTAGTTCACGTGAACCAAAGAGTCAAGTGAGCTTTCTTAAAAAAACCTTGTCTGTCAATCATTCCTAACTTTTCACATATTCGAAATCTAAAGAACTAGTGGACCAATTTCAAATTTGACACAAAGCATCCTTGATTTGAAAAATAAAAAAAATATAATTGATGAATGACCACGATATCTGGCAAAGGAAAATAATTAGGATAAAGTGTAAAGTTAAACAATCTTAGACACGATTTGGCTAGAAAAACCCATTATGAAAGCTTCCTTACATGAAATATGTGGAGATAACGAACAGTTTTCGAGCTCAAAGTCAATTAAACATTACAAAATAGGAGCAGAGCAAACACGGACCTCTAAGACATCAGAGGTGGGATCAGGTGCCATGGAGGAGTGAGCATCCCCTGCCGACTGGTCACACCCACCCTGTGCTCCTTGTCATGATCGGGAAATAACGGAAAAATCCATCGATAATTCAGTGTATAAATAATGGCCTAACAATTAGTATGAAAAAAGTCAGTCAGCATTTGACTTAGTGAAAGATTGTATTTGATGATAAGGTCATTGTATCGACCATAGAACTTACGAAATGATGACTTTAAACGAGACTGCTGATATTCTTGTTTCATCAACTTGTTTGTCAATAACTTACCTCGTTTTAGAAATTGTTCATACGTAGAGCATGTTCTAGCGTATCGAATCACCTGAGAGATATAAACCCGTATGCAGGTGATAAGGGTATATTGCTGCATAAGTAAGGGAAGTTGACGATTGAAAAGTTAAAGTCATCACGTTTATCATAAAGCTTTGTTGTTAGATTACCCTTAATGTCTTTTTCTAATAAAATATCCAAATAAGAAACAGATGTGTCAGACTCTGTGGTATCTTTTATCTCAAGCTCACAGGGATATATCGTGTCGACATATGAATGGAAATAACCATTGTTAATTGACAATATGTCGTCGATATATCTAAATGTCGAGTTGAAGGCCAAAGCAAGTGTTTTCTTCTTTTCACGTAAAAGATTTAGACAAATTCTGCTTCATATGAATACAAAAATAGGTCTGCCAATAACGGGGCGCAATTGGTACCCATGGAAATTCCAATAGATTGTTGGAAGACCTGGTCTCCAAAAACCACATACATGTAGATATTGTCAATCAGAAACTCGAACATCTTTTTAATGTCATCTTCAGAGTACTTGTGTGTACAATCAGATTTTTTTTTAACAAAGTAATTTTGCAAATGACCAATGACAAGGTAAGTAAATTTACGAGTTCCATTTTTATTGAAAAAGCAGCTGTCAATGATGTAAGAAAGTCTGGACTTTAATTTATCTTGAGGAATAGTTGTATATAAAGTTGAAAAGTCGTAAGTTTTTAATATTCGATATTGTTGAAAAGCCAAGCAGGCTCTGGCTTGATTGGGGTCAAAAAAGGATCAAAGCTTTACGAAGGAAAATCGTCTCAAGAAAGCAGTTAGTCATATTGATGAATTTGATGTGCAAGCATTATTAAGTATTGTTAGTTCTCCTGAGCTGAAAGCTCAAGTGAGCTTGAGCTTTTCTGATCACCCATTGTCCGCCTTCATTCCGTTTGTCCGTCCGTCTGTAAAGTTTTCACATTTTCAACTTCTTCTCAAGAACCACTGTGCCTATTTTAACCAAAATTTGTACAAAGCATTATTGGGAAAAGAGGATTTGAAATTCTTAAAATAGAGGACCAAATCCCCTTCCAAGGGAAGATAATCAAGAAAAAACAAAAATAGGGTGGGGTCAATAAAAAATCTTCTCAAAAACCATTGGGCCAGTAAAGCTGAAACTTATGTAGACGCTCAAATCATCTCCCCCATGGGTTATGGTGGGGCCACAATAAGGTATCACGGTTTTACATTGAAAGATGTAGGAACAATCTTAAAAAATCATTTTGGCCAGAAAAGCTGAAACTTACGTGGAAGCTTCCTGAGCTAGTGTAGATTCTGGTTCCCGGATTAGGTGGGGCCACAATAGAGAATCAAATTTTTGCATTGAAACATATAGGAAACATCTCTAAAAAGTTTTCTCTCTAGAACCACTAGCCCAGCAAAGCTGAAACTTGTGTGAACGCTTCCTGAGGTAGTGTAGAATTTTAAATTAATCAAATCAAGCCCCCGGGTAGGGTGGGTCAACAATAGGGAATCAAAGTATTTCAAGGGAATACAGCAGGGCCAATGTGACTCAGGTGAGCGTTGTGGCCCATGGGCCTCTTGTTTTTTTAAGGGTCCAACTTTTATACTGTATATTATACTGTAATATATGTATTTATGTATAAAAATGGAACACAAGTAAACTAATGCATGGTCCATAATGCTATTTTACATTGTAGCCGTAGCTTAAAAAATCAGAATACAAAAATGAAACTCTGTCACTATGAATCTTAAATAAGTTAAATAAGTGTTTCAAGTCCAAGTGCTTCTTTAATCTTAATAGATTTGTTGTATTACAACATGGATTACTCTCCTTTCAAACAATCCTGCATCCGCCCCTGAATGATTACTCAGAAAAATAATTATAATTTTGAAACGTTATTTTTAGAGAGAAGATAATTAAGCGCGCAGATGCAGTTGTGATTGAAGCTAAGCTATGCTGTCTTCATAAAAGTCTATACAGATGTACCACAAGGACTCTTGCCATCAAAACCATAGTTCTGCTTCTCTTATATTACGTAATAACACAAAATTTATAATTATATCTATAATAGAAACATGCTATTTAACTTTTGTCAACTTATAATTCGCTGTTGGTGTGGCATATTTTAATGTTTTTATCATACGCATTTTTTTCGGTAGTATTTCATTTTTACTGTGGTTGTGTCGAATTACTTCGGGGAACTGTACGCCGCACTTTCGTCCAGAGACGTTATTGACCTGTATGGTTTCAAGATTAGAAGGTCAACTATTCGGTATTTGCGAACATTAACTCAAGTTATCAAAGGTATTTCATGAATCTTTTTAAATTTCAAATTAATTTTATAACAAATAATAAAAACAAAAAACTTTATACAGTACATGCAGTTGTTATTATGCCCCCGTATCGAAGATTCGGGGGTATATTGTTTTTGCCCTGTCCGTCCGTCCGTCTAGCTGTGTGTCTGTCTGTCTGTCTGTCCTCAAAAAACTTTAACATTGTTCATAACTTTTGATTGGTTGCAGCTATGGGTTTCATATTTCACATGTGTATTCCTTGTGACAAAGACCTGTCTTTGGGTCGTATTTAACCATTTGACCTTGACCTAGGAGTTTTACCCAGCTTTACAAAATGTACCCAACTTTAACCTTGGCTGTAACTTTTGAACAGTTGATGCTAGGGCTTTCATACTTAACATGTGTAATTCTTGTGACAAGACCTTCCTTTAGATTTGAACATCTTTGACCCTTTAACCTTGACCTAGGAGTTTGACCTACTTTTGAAAAACTTTAACCTTTGCCATATCTTTCGAACGGTTGGGGCTAGGGCTTTCATATTGGACATGTGTATTTCATGTGACAAGGCCTTGCCTTGGATACCATTAATTTTAACCATTTGACCTTAACCATTATGTTTGACTTACTTTTGAAAAAACTTAAACCTTTTCATATCTTTTCAATGGTTTTTGCTAGGGCTTTCAAATTTCACTGGTATATCCACGGTACAAGACCTTAATTTGGGTACCATCTATTTGATTTGCGTTTGAGAAAGTTTAACCTTATAACGCTATAAGTTGCTATACAGGGGCATCAGTGTTTCACAAACACATCTTTTTTTTTTTTAATTTTCAGTCTCGCTCATCATTGCCAATGTGCTATCAGCTGTTTATCTAATCGCAAATATGGTCCTCATCTATCGCTCTCAGAGACAACATATCATTCAGATATGGAGAGGAGACAGGTCTTTCATTCCCAGAAATTGTATTCAAACACATGGTGATATGGTGGTTTGTAGATCATTAGTTGTTTATATGTATATATTGGAAATCATTGTAATAATAGATCACAATTACGCATATCTATCTTTACCTTCAAAACAAGTTAATTGTGACATTTTAACACACTTCCCTTTTTCTTTCAAAAAATACTGCAACAATTTAAACAATAACATGCTTTCTTTGTTGATAATGCTGGGATACCGATTTTAAAACTTTGCGACATTGCAGAAAAAAATGCATGAGTGTAACCCACGTTATGTATTTTTTTTCCAGCGATGAATCATTCCGTTAATCCCCGAAATAAAAACGAATAAAACATTCATGATAGAGGAAAAATTGTTGTGGTGCACAATTTTCGGAAGAACCTATTGTGGAACTTGCTAGAGGTCGTAAACTATGAATATTTCATTTCAAAAAACATCGATTAAAACCTTTGTAGATTATCGAGTGCTATCATTTGAAACCAAGAAAATGCTCCTTTTGTTAATATCGTTAAAAAAACGTTTTGTAATTATTGAAGCAAAGTTGTTCTTAAAATGTAATATTTAGAAAGAAATTTGAATTTTAGGGGTTATATCTTTGAGCACATTTAATCTCATTAAAATATTTTTTTACTAAGTTATAGACAAAACCTTGTTCAAAGTGATGATCTGAGACAATTTCTACCCGATAGAAAATCTTTCGTTTCGCACTGTTAAGGGCTGAAGGGACCAGGTCGTAGAATTGAGTTTGCTTTATATATCAATAGTGTTTCTGAAGACACATTGAACAAGAATTATTTTAATCTCTGAATGTATTTATTAATTATTTTTATAGCATTTCTTTTATTTGATATCAAGAAGAAAGTGCTATTTTATCTTTCGATAAAGGAACTGACTTCGCAGAATAGGGTCCAAAGGGACCGAAGTTTTCCTTAAAGATAATTTTTATTTTATTTTATTGTTTAAACAATTTCAGCTATATTATTACAAGATGTGTTTGATAAACACAAATGACGCGATATTAGCCATATTTAATGAACCCTTTTATATGAAAAATATCAGATGCAAAATTTAATTGATTAATAAAATAATTAATCGTTTGTGATAAGGCTAAATCTTTTATTTTTTATATCTCTAACTGTAAAACCATTATGATATGAAATATTTGTTCTTAACAACATGCAACCTTTCAATTTTTTGCAAAATCGTCTCATTATGGACATCTTTACTACATATTCTTTATATCTCAGAAAAAATAATGTATGAATAGTTTAAATCAAAAACCACATAGATGATTTAAATCTCTTGTTGTAATCGGGGGGGGGGGGGGTAAAGGGCCAGATTGCTTAATATAATCTTTGATCATTTATATCTTGTAAACAAGAAAACGTTTGATGATTATTAGAATGTGAATACCCTCCTAAAGCATCAGAAATAAATCTAAGTAGGAAGATCCTATACCATTTTGTTATAAACGAATATTTCAGTCATGTTCCTCTAATCCTCTAAATTTTTATCACAAATCGGACGAAGGACTCTTCCTTTTGTTTTACTATGATTATTAGCATGTTCCACAAACGAAATTTGGGAACGCATTGTTTTTACTCAATCTATTATTATTATAAATACATGTATTAAGGTCTTTCGTTTCACTTTCAAGAACGTATTCTATTATTAGTTACAAAATAAAACATAAAATTGAGACCTTTGAAAATTTTGCTTATTTATAATATATGAATGTTAGGAACACATACACTGAGTAATATTTTGAGATGGTAGCTTAAATATATGAAGAATTAACGCGGGAAATGTGCAAACGTTTTAATTAATTTTTTTTTTCAAAAGGTGAAATTGTTGCTCTTTGGTCAGGCATTTCAGTTTATCAGTTTATCAAACCAGCGAGGTACATTTACAGATATCAACTAGGTATTATCAAATTTGAATTAAAGGACATGCATGTACGTATGATGAATTCTGATTGGTCCCTACTTTAATTATGTTTCCCCAATTCCTTAACGAGGTTCGCTCCTGAGCTTTTGAGCAGATTTTTATTTTAACCTATATTTAAAAAAATCTGCGTAATGTTTTAATTCTTACAATAAATTTGGATTCTACAATGCCAAATAAACTATATTCAGTTAAAATTCCATGATTAAATTCCGTACCAAAAGCATTAAGTGAGGAACTATATTTTGTGGCGGAAGGTTTTTTAGAAGAAAATGATCATTTTTTCTCTTTCGAAGTATTTGAAGTATGTTAAGTTTGGATTCCTATTTTTACATGCAGTCTGCACAGAATTATTTTGAGCAGTGAACTGTTTTATACTGGTCCTAAATTATATATTTAATAAACTGTCATGAATTCAATCATCATATTTGATAAATAAATCAAATATATTGTGAAAATCAAGAGAAAAAATAGCCCTAATTTAAGCTCAAAATTAGCACTATTTTAGTAATATCTAAAAATTAACATCACAGACCCCCACTTTTAACTTTCTTTTCTCAATATACAAGATACTTTTAATCATTCTTCTTAAATTCAGTGAAATGACATTACTTTTAAATGAGTTTTTTTCTTGTTAAATTTGTAATGCTAGCAAAATGAAATTTTTTGAGTGCAAAAAGGTCAAAAAATGGAACGTGCGGAGTACTTTAAAAAATTTTTTCGTTGTCAAAAATTTTAATGGGTCTATTCAAGATGAAATAAAACTGTGTTTGTTCCCATAACTTATTTGAATAAAAAATATCGGAGGAAAAACTTAAAAAATTGATTTATGTGTAAGACGTTTTTACAGTGCAAAAAGGTCAAACTAAGTGCTCTGTAGCGCCAAAAGAAGCGCATTGACCCCCATTTTTTGTTTTGGTTTTTAATTAAGCTATGTGTATAAATTCTAAAAATATACTTGATAAAAAATCCTCATTACTTTTGATGTCAGGATCCAACCTCCTTAACATCTAACATATACATGTAGGTATATTGATTTTATGAGACACTGACTATATGTGAGAAAGTAGAAAGTGTGTGGGTGCATATGCGCTGAAATACTCATGTAACTATACAGGCGTTGTTTTCAGGTGAAATGCTTTGGAAAATAATTTGAAGGTCCAAAATACAGAATCATTTTCTAATTTAATAACACTTGTAAGGAATGGTGCAAAATATGTGTAACGGTTCCTGTCACAACTAACAGTAGTTGTTAATGGGCTAATAACGTTTTTTAATAAGGAATAAAGAAAAAAAAATATTCAGTGACATTAATTTTAACTTCTTAGATATTTGGTATACATTTAAATTTTTTTTCTTTCAGGCGAAAAGTTTAATGTTTGCAGGAAACCAAGCATCGCATCTTGTTGGAGGTTTGGTTTATCTATCATGATTCTCATTCTCATTCAGAATACATGTAGATACAAATATATCAACTTATTTAAATTGAGAGCATTCACACAAAGAGTATCATTAAGTCAAAAAATTACTTTAAAAAGTTAACTTTATTCTTATTTTCATCTAGGTTATTTGATTTCACAGACAGTTGTGTTCTTTCTCTGTGTTCTCTTGGCGTATTGTATTATCTTGCCTATTATGAAGGAGGTTCCCGAAAGCTTCCTTTCACCATTACAGACTTTATTGTAAGTATTAGTTTATTTTCTTCCTCAATTTTAACATCTAGTTAAATTTTTATTAGATGTTGACATTCTTATTTATCCTACTGCTTCTAGACCTGGTGTGGTGTTCATGTTCATTTTCCGAGTTGTTCTTAGAATCATCAGTCGTAAAGCTTTCTTACAAAATCATTACATCAGTTCTGACAACGGGGAACACTGGGAGAAAGTACTGGCTTTGGACAACAGGTAAGTGTAGTCAAACGGATTAAGATTTTCGGTTTTCTTCTAAAGCTATCCATTTATAATTTTTTTGCATGAAATTCTTCGACAATCCGCAATTTCTTTAAAAATCTAAGCTGACTTTAACTCTTTTTCAGGCGAGTGTACCAGAACCTGTCCTATTTCCTATTTTTCTACTATATACTGATTGGTTTATTTAGATGTCTGTACCGTATTGTGACCTCTATGTGCTTGGGACTATTTTATATAGCGCGTATGGATAGATCCTTGTTATTTCCTGGATATGAACATCGTGATATAAGTAAGTGAACCAACATTTTTTATCAGAATAAAATATATCCATGACATACAAAATGAAACAACCTTCCCTTTATTGGTGTTGAGTTTTTGTCCTAGGGAAAGATATGAATAAATGAAAGTGTATTAGGCCATAAATAAATTAATTTCATTTAAGTTCTCGTGACCTTAGTATGTTTCTTCTGTTCAAGGTTATATGACATATCTTGGCTTTCTGGAGGTAGAACTTCACCATTGTCACCCAGTCGTTGTTGTCTTTTGTGACCAGATGATCAAAGCTGTGAAAATTATCTCCACTAAATCCGTGCAGAGCCTTAATTCCTCGGATGAACTTGTTTATGGAAACAGGATGTGTGGGCTTTCCAGAGTTTACACACGTAAAGTAAGAAACAAGTGGCAAAAGATGAAAACCATGATCTCCAACCAGTCTCTTTGCAAAGCTTCAAAAACAAACTTTTCCTTTGAGCATGAGAAAACAGTGGTGGGATCCACGATCATCTAATCTCTAGACAAAGTATAAATAGAGAGTAAACCAAACTGCGGTGCCATTATGTAGTTTGGTAGGATAAATTTTAGATCTAAAAGCTCTTAGTTCAAAGTCCTGAGCCTAATACTTAGGATATGAAATAAGAATCTATGGATGTTATTACTACAGTTTTTTGAAATGCATAACTACGTTAGTTTAAGGAATATTGTACCTGTTACAAAAAGACTGAATTCTGCAGATATGCGAAAGATACCTCTTTTAAAATATGAGATACAGAAAAAAGAAAGTGAGTCTTACTTGCTCTTATTTTTTTCCAACTCTATTCTGGATATCTCCTAACATTTTTCACAGAATAAGATTCAATTACAACAGTTAATGAAAACTATGTCAGACTGTGAGATTCATATTCAAAATGTACTTATCCCTTTACAATTGTTTAATTTGGATATGAATATCAAAAGTATGTATTCTTTGTTGTTGTTTTCTTATAAGAATCATAAAAAACAATATTTTACTTTCGTTTTTGTGTTCTCCCACCATGTTTGTAAATATTAGAATAACTAATTCTATTCAGTTTATTGTGCACCTTTATCATTTCAGAAAAAAAAATAAGTTGGTGATTTCAATTTTTCTTGAAATTTAGCATTTTAGTTTATCTTTCACAGACAGAAAATCGTTTTATTCTTTGATTCCGCGGAAAATGTTAATTCAAATTAAATCGATGAAAAATTGCCTTTTGTTAATATTATTATACCTCTGTAATTTATTGTTTGCATCCAGAAAAATTGTATAGGATTACGAATTATGTGATTTTTTTTGTTTAAAGATCTGGAGTTTCATTATGACATTACTAACCAATATATTGTTTTTTCTGAAATTGTTTTGATTTTTTACATTTTATATTTTGAAGAAAATAAATTGATTTAAGTATTCGTCCAGATATTGTTCTTTACTAATGTTTAAAATTGTTTGAATTTATACTGTAAGCACCCCATGGATGGCCTTTCATAAATGGGGGGTTACAAAATATAACATCAAAAATATAACATTGGGTGGTTCTTCAATCTCGGTTTACTTCAGTATTGTAAACAAAACGAGTGTTTCTCAAAGGTAAAAATAATTTATTAACACATTTCTGCAATAACAACATCAGGTATAAAACAGTAGTTTGGTCGGTGGCGTCTACCGTATAGGGATATGGTAAAAAGGGGGCGTGGCGCCAATGTGACCGTCAATGCATCAAATATTAAATAGTAATTAATGATAATGATTTCAAATAATAAATAGGTGTCCAGTTGTTGAGAGATAATTGTCTTAAGGAAGCTCTAAACACTAATGAAAAAATATATCATATAAAGCTGCATATATTCAGTGTATCTACTTCATAGGGTGCCTGCCTTATTTCTGCAGAAAAAATGTTCAAAGACAATGAACTATTTGTGAACAGAAATCACTGTTGTTTAGTTGCATCGGGAAAATTAATGGAAATAATGCATTCAATAACTTAATCTTGGTCTAACATACCATTAAGAATACTTTAATTCATAAGAAATTGTGTCATTAACTGTAGGTTAGGTACCATTTATTCTATTTTTCTTCTAAGGGCAGATCACTCTAACTCAATAAAACTACCCTACAAATAGCCATTATTGGCTGATCGACTCATTTATATATTAGACTTTCCGAGGTACAACGTGATAGGGCTTTACCAATAAGATAACTGTACGATGACACTCGACCAATCGTCGCAATGTACGACACCGCACAACATGAGATTTGCCGTAAAGTGCCAAACAAGTTTGCCGTACACAAAGAATAAATAATTAAAAACATGTTGTGATTAAACAAATACACATGGATTAAATTAATATGACTATGCTGGGTGTTTTCTCAAACTGTAAGTAAATATTCAGTTCCTAGAAATATGTATATTTGTCATAAAAACATTGAATCGTATAGCAGACGATGTTAACTTAAGGTAATATCAAATACAAGCACAATGATAAGCTATTTAATTTTCAAATGACTGCCTTTTTATATTAAATAGCACAAGTCTAGCAATAATCTGAGTTATTTCAAATAATAAACAAATGATAGAGATACAAAATGCGAAACTCTGGCTAGTATGTACATGTACGTCACATCAACAAAGATGGCAGCGGGTGTGTCCCAGAGTATCCATAACAAATAAATCGAGATATTACAGTTCATTTACATATTAATATCTCCACCGAAGTTCATGAATAAGACCATAAATCATGTAGTTTTAAAAGGTATGTGATCGAATTCAGGAGAACTGAATTAGATTAGAAAACAGATTATTTACATATCAGCAAGTGCTATAAAAGAATAAATACATAACATGTTCTGAAAAACAGAAACTGTCTCACAAACAATTGAAAAAATAATTCTGCAAAGATGCAATAATGAATTACACAATAAAATACAGCATAATGAGAGAGCTGAACAACGTTAAATTATTATATTAGACCATCTTTAAAAAATTGTTTGGTAGCCCTCTTCCGACCGACTGGCTAAAATTGGCCTGACTCAAAACTTTTTTAACCTCCAGGAAGCAATTATTATTTTATTATGCATTTCGGAATATATTTGGAAAATTCAGCATTGATTTTGAAATTTTCTTCGAAAAAAAAAAACCTCACATACCTAACGACTCAATATTTTCATCCTGAGTCGGGAGAGGGCAAGCAAACATTATTTAAAAGTTGACCTTACATATTATAGGCTACAGGTCTTACAATTAATACGTTTGTAATTCGGAAATTTGTCATATTTTCTGTTGTTCGTATTAAAGAGCTAGAAATACAACTATTTCATCTATTTAAAGCATTAAGCATCATGTTAACACTAAGTGCAAGATGACTTGTCCAACACAAACAAATTAAAGACGGGATATGCGTATCAGCCCTGGATCATCAGTCCGACGCTCTGTCTTGACTAAGTGTTTTCTTATTAATGTGTCAAAATAAGGAAAAAATAACCATGGCTTTTAATTTTTAAGGGTTCACTTTACGTTACTTCTTACACTCGATAGGACGAGTAAAACTTTATGAAACCAAGAAACTTTATAGAATTCAAATTACAATAACTAATATGAATTTAAGATAAGTTAAAAGTTAATTGAAGCAAAACAAATTGGAAGCAGAGCAAACACAGATGTCTGAAAACTTCAGAGTTGGAATCAGGTGCCATGAAGGAGTAAATGTCCCTTGTCGACTGGTCACACCCGCCTTATGATCTTTGTTATCACTATGCAAACGGAAAAATCCATAAACAATTCAGTGTGAAAATACAAAAAGGGACATATCAAATCAAAGTAGAAATGAAAATGAATACTGTTAATTGATAAAACGTTGCAGATTAATCTAAATTTTAAGCTACGACAAGAGACTTTTTCTTTTCATGTACATTGTACTTTAATTTGTAAGTTTTTAAATAAAATCTGCTTCATATGAATACAAAAATTGTCCTGCTAATAATAGGGCGAAGTTAGTACTCTTGGGAATTCTGACAGATTGTTCGAAGGCAATCTCCAAAAACTACATAGATACATGTATTCTCAATCAGGAACCTAAGCATCTTTTTAATATCAACTTTGAAGTACTTGTTTGTACAATCAGAATGTTTTTAACAAAACAGAATTTGCAACGTCAAGGTAAGTCAATTCACGATTTCAATTTGTATTGAAAAAAGCAGCTCCTATGATGTCAAAAAGCCTTGACTTTAATTTAGCAAGCCATTCCTAAGTGAGTTGGACACACTACCAAATTTGATAATGATGCTGGAACTGGCGTACATTTTCTGGATGAGTGTCAGTTTTGGAGTAGGTGTTTTACTTGGTAAGTATTAATAAACCTTTTGACGACAAAACCTGCATGTATAATGCATCCTTTGTTCGGGTAAATGACGAGTTTATAGAGCATTTCAGAGTTTAAAATGAGAACTACCTACTCTCTAACCATCGGCTCATACTTTCACTGTCTGAGAGGAACGAACGACAGCTCTGCAAGAGAGATTGAGAACTACATGTACCCTGACCTAACTTTCATGGATGCCTCATCTACACACTACCACGGTTGCTTCTGATGCTGCATCAGACCTACTTTTTCCGAATGAGTGATTATTTAAACTTTTTTAAGTGTATCGAATAATACACCTTTCCAGAACAACTGTTTTGTGTAAGCCATTATAGATAATATTCGTCAAGGAAAGCTCTATAATCTTCAATTAACCTATGCAGTGTTTGACTCAGGCGTCTAAATTGCTTAGAGCATATATTACATGTATATCCATCTAAAGGCTTGTGAAGTAACACAGGTTACCATATGATTTTTTGTTTATCGATTACTAGTAATGAAAACAACAGCTGTCGACAATTTATATAAAAAAAAATGGAACAAAAAAAAAACAAAACAATAGAATTATACCTCATATTCACGAAAACTTTATTAAAGAACTACTCAACTACTCATGCTTATACTTATTAAATTCAACAAACTTTTCCGAATGCAAAGAAGAGGTTGTTGTTGATTGGTATTTTAAAGTAAATAAATGATTATTTTAAAACCAGTATCAAATGGTTACTTCCTCTTAATTTCAACTCTTTTGACATGTATAAAAGAAGGGTAGGGGTAGAAAATGTAACCCACTTAAATAATGCTTTAAAACATCATTAGGTTGCAAATGCACATGAATATAGATAATTGACCTGTAAAACTTTCTGTTTGTTTAACTAATGCAAAAATGAATGCATAAGATAGACATTTCATAAATGTGTGCTCCAAATGAATAAAATGACCAATTTTGTTATGTTTGTCTTCAAACATATGTGCCCCCCCCCCCCCCCCTCGGTGAAACAACAAAAGCTTTGATATGAATTTGTATTCATTATACCTTTTAAAATGAATTTTTGTTTGAAGGGGGAAATGTTTTTAAAATAGTTTCTGGGTTGTTTTTTTATTGATTTCTATAGTGAAAAACACAAAAAACACTATTAGAGATTGATCTCTTTATTTGCTAAATAAGTCATGTTTTGTGAATATTCAAACAAATATCTATAAAGATATGAAAAAATCGTTCAAATGTTAAAAGTTTTAAAAATTGACTTGGAGGAAGGCGGCAGTTCTTTCTGGGTAAATTGCTTCAAAAAACTAGCGTGAAATACATAATAACACAACATGGCTTTTGTTAGAAGCACAGATGAATAATTCCTCAGATTTCTGCATTGAAAAAGCCTACTTTCTATTTGCAGATGGCAATATTTAAAATATAGTCTGACTTTGTACTGTTTTAATAACCAGAGTGTGACTTGCTTTGCTCGCTATTTTTGTTATCAGACATCAAACCGCCATCTACATGACTTCATCTTAGATATCAGCAAATTCACCAAAAGTTGATAGTCGGTAATAATTATGTCGATTTGTTTTAAATATTGGATCCGGTTTTGCGTTGTAAAAGTCGTTTTAATTTTTTTTTTCTGGTATATAATGCAAAACTTTCACACAAATGATCTAAATTTAAGAACTTTTTTTTCATTAAAAAAGTTTAAAGAAAATAAATGCTTCCAAAAACTTGTAATTCACAATCAAATTTAAGATGGAATCTTAACGGATAAACTATTCTGCTCTAAATATTGACAATTTCAAGGCAGAATAGGATCTTGAGCTAGTTCAGGTTTTAGACTGTCCCATCAAAAACCTTATTTTCCGAAAATACTGCCATTCTTAAGTTAGATATTTAAAAAAATCAAGTTTGTTAGCAAGGTGAGTTTTTGTTTTTGTAATCTTTTTAAGAAAAGAAATTTAAAACTGTATCTGCTTTGATATTTCACACAAGACACATTTTCATTCCTTACCATTATGTTGTAAGAGTGAATTGAACTACAATGTATATGAAACCTTTCTTGTATAGAGACAACATTGTTAATTTGCGGAAAGATTCTGAACTTGCTTGAGTGCATGTGTGCATTTTTTCAATAAAATGCTTCAACACATAATTATTTAGCAAGGGTTATTTCATATAATTCACATAAAACGCAATTTGCACCGCCAAACGTGTTCATGGATTTAAATGGCTGACACAAAAATCAATTTTACCACGCTGACGGAATACTGTTGAAAACTAAATAATGTTGTGAGATGGATTAAAATAAATCGTGGAAACACGTGCATGCACGTAAGTAAGCCGAAAAAAAAAACAGATCAAATTTGTACTATGTGTCCACATATATTAAGAAAGGAATACAAAGGCATGCATGTGCTAGATTCCAATTGTTACTCAATTGGGTCAGTTTATCCTAGTTTTTTATCGAAATATACTGAAAAGGTATACAGGTTAAGTGAATTTTTGAAAATTGAGGTGTGACATTAGGGAATGTCTAAGGGAGGAGAAGGGTCTTCTTTTCTTATTCTCTGTAGTCGAAGACTTTGGGACAGATAGTTTTTTTTTATTTATTTTCTGTTCGTCCAGTTTCTGTTTGTTTGCAAACATTTTAAGCTTGTCACTTAATTTTGAATGGCTGGTTCTAAGATTGTGATATTTCACAAAATTATGCCTTGTAACAAGTCTGTCTTTGAGCACCAACATATTCGACCTCTTGAACTTGGAGTTTGACTTTTCGGCTTTATTAAGGTCTTCCGTCTCCAACGGAAGACCTTATTGTTTTCGTTCGGTTTCTTTTTCCCTATTATTATTATTCTTACCGATTTTCTGCACGCGAGTTCTCGGTAACGTCTTGGCCGATTTTCATGAAACCTTCAGATCTGATAGGTATTGATCTGAACCTTATTGGAATTTTTTTTCGTTGATGACGTCACTTTCCATCTCGAGATATTTAGGATTTTCTGATTTTCAGAGGGTCGGCTTGTCCTGGAAACTCCTCCGAAACGACTTAAGATATTGAGTCAAGATTTCAGCGAAGGTAGGGGAAGGTTTGTAGATTTGCAGGCAGGTGTCCAAATCTCTCTAGCGCAAAAGGCGCCGAAGCTCGGTGGGGCTCAAAAAATGTCTCAGAAACATCTCACAAAATTTTACACCTTTTCTTTCATATCTTCATACTGTTAAGAATTTGTTACATGTAAAATATATAGAAGGAAAGTTGTGCAAAATGATACGACCTTTCATTTGATATCAAGAAAAAAGGGACTGACCCCTCAAATTAGGGGCTCAGAGGGGCCAAAAGTCTTTCATCTATGACTCTTTAACGATCAATAATTTGTAATTCATTACTGAAGCAAAGATGCTTATCTTAACGATCTACAACAATATATGAAAAGATTCTGATCATATGTTACGTAATAAGGGGTCACAAGGGGCCAGAATTCTAAATCTTGGACGCTTTATATCTCGAAAAGGGAGAATATTTTGATAAGCAATACTGAACAAAAGATGGTCAGAATAATGTTTTAAACAATATGCATCCTTTCAAGTTTTGTCAAACGGCCCCGTTAAGGACCTTCAGACGTGGCCCCTAAATATTTCAATTAAGCATATCTCTACAACGAAAAGAAACCTCTGAATAGTTGTTGAACCAAAACTCTTCAAAATCACAAGACCTTTCAATTGATATCAAGAAAAAGGGACTGACCCCTCAAATTAGGGGCTCAGAGGGGCCAAAAGTCTTTCATCTATAACTCTTTAACGATCAGTAATTTGTAATATATTACTGAAGCAAAGATGCTTATCTTAACGATCTACAACAATATATGAAAAGATTCTGATCATATGTTACGTAATAAGGGGTCACAAGGGGCCAGAATGCTAAATCTTGGACGCTTTATATCTCGAAAAGGGGGAATATTTTGATAAGCAATACTGAACAAAAGATAGTCAGAATAATGTTTTAAACAATATGCACCCTTACAAGTTTTGTCAAACGGCCCCATTAAGGACTTGGAGGGGTGGCCCCTAAATATTTCCATTCAGCATATCTCCATAACGAAAAGAAATCTCTGAATAGTTGTTGAACAAACAGTCTTCAAAATCACAAGACCTTTCATTTGATATAAAGAAAAATGGGCTGACCCATCAAATTAGGGGCTCAGAGGGGCCAAAAGTCTTTCATCTATAACTCTTTAACGTTCAATAATTTGTACTATATTACTGGAGCAAAGATGCTTATCTTAACGATTTACAACAATATATGATAAGATTGTGATCAAATGTTACGTAATAAGGGGTCACAAGGGGCCAGAATGCTAAATCTTGGACGCTTTATATCTCGAAAAGGGAGAATATTTTGATAAACAATATTGAACAAAAGATGGTCAGAATAATGTTCTAAATAATATGCATCCTTTCAATTTTTGTCAAACGGCCCCATTAAGGACTTGGAGGGGTGGCCCCTAAATATTTCCATTCAGCATATCTCTACAACGAAAAGAAATCTCTGAATAGTTGTTGAACAAACAGTCTTCAAATTCACAAGACCTTTCAATTGATATCAAGAAAAAGGGGCTGACCCCTCAAACTAGGGGCTCAGAGGGCCAAAAGCATGTCATCTATAGCTCTTTGATAATGTTATATAAATCAAAAGAATGAAATCTAATTAGGGAAGTCTATATATTATTATCTTTTAACAATGATCATAGTCAAAATCATATCTCATCTTATCGAAAAATCGGACGGAAGACCTACTCGTTGCTCGCAACGAGATCTCATCTAGTTATTATTATTATTATTTTTTTTTTTTTAATTTATTTTTTTTTATTTTTTTTTTTATTTATTTATTTTTTTTTTTTTTGGCAAAACTTTACCAAACGTAGACCTTGGTAAAAAACTTTTGAAAGATTAGTGCTAGGGTTTATATATTTGATTATGACTTACTAAACCATCACCATATTTTCTGAATGCTTGGTGTTAGGACTTTTATATTTCTCATGTGTATTCCTTGTGAAATGACTTGTCTGTGGGTACCAACATTTTTGAGTTTTTGATCAGACTTTGAGTATGACCTACAGATGAAAAAACTTTAACCTTGACCTTGAGCTGCCATACTGGGGCATCAGTGTTCCAAAGACACAGTTTGTTTTATTAAGTATTTCTTGTACCATGTACATGACTGCCACACATTAAATCACTCTTATTAAAAATTTCAAGCTTTATTTACAGAATGGAAAATAAAACAGATCAGCCAAACACAACGAATACTCCTGCTGACATCCAGGAGTGTCTGAGATTTACTCTTGCTCTCTACTATGACTTGGGGATGCCTATTTATGCGGTACAATATATATTTCTCCATTTAAATTGATTGCCTAAGATATTTTTCATTGTTAAATATTTCACTTCCAACAATGTCATGTATACTGTACAGCAGGAAATTAACTCACGGAGATAATATTCGCGGAAATAAAAATGCCCCGAATTCAACATACAGAGAATAATTCTTCAAAAATTGATAAGGATAAATTGAAATATTACCGATATTTGTCATTAGATTCGGTAACTCTATTTACGTTTCCTTGTAAACATAAAAAGCAGTAATTAATATAGCAGAGATGTAGACTGTCTTCCTTATTATGAGGGTGTACGGATCAATCACTAACAAGTAGTTGTTGTTTTTTAAAAGCTTAATTGATAAATAAACATCTAAAACTAACATTTAATTCTGCCACCCAGTAGAGGTGCCATGTAATTATCTATAAAACATGTATTGTTAGAATTCACCCGTGCATATCACTCAGTCTTATTATCTTTAATCAAGGCACTTACGTAGTAAAGACAACACTGTTACACATGAATTCAATTTTATTAACAGTTCAACATTTTGACTATCGGTACTGACAACTGATTTAGATTCAGAGGGATTAAAAAGACCTGCAAAAAATACTACTCAGTACTCTACTCAAAACATATCTATTCATGAACGAACACCTGCCAAAGGGCTTCTTTTTTTATTCTTTTTTTTTTCTTTTTTTTATACATGTTTGCCATTGTTTGGGATACGACTGGAAATCACTTAAATAAATCACTCGCGCATAGACTCATATGTATTTCAAAAATATTTAACAAAAAGAAAGAAAGAAAACAAGAGAAAGAAAGAAGAAAATTTATATGAATGCATAACAGTGTAAATCGTACAGCATTTTGTCTTCCAATCGGGATCAGTACGGTGTTTCAATCTATTTAATCGGGTTCAGAATCGACACAATATGCAAGGAAAATACTTGCAGTGCGGAAAAGGTTTTTGTAACAGTATAATTTTTCCTTTCCGCGAATTCAAACGACCGCGATTTGCTGCAAGTTGAACAAATCGCGATCTTTTCCGACCGCGATTTTAACCTGCTGTACAGTATAAACAAAGTTAATTTCTTTTGTTTTTGTAAATGATTACAATGCAAGTGATAATCTGGAAAAAAATCACATATTCTGCATTCAAATATTACTTAAAATCTGTGACTTTTGTGAGACAGGTCTTGATAATAAGCATTTATATCGCATGTTTTTGAGCCCATGACACTGTATTTTGAAACTGTATGTTATGCAGTTATCACACAAACTGAAATTTAAACTACTATGAAGATACATTAGGATCATTCTCACAATGCCAGGGGTGCGAAGTCAACACTGGGGTCCCCACGGCAATGTGTTGACGCAGGACAACTGGTATTGTGAAGATGCATCGGGATTCGAATATACGAAAAGGATCGCTGTAGACCGACAATAAAAACTGACTGTAATCTCTTTTAGTAATCGTATCTTTTCGGGTCTTTCCGGCAAGCTCGATAAAACACTCGAATGTATTTTTACATGAGTCGCTTTCTATTTATTTTTAAAAGTATTAAGATGCATATTTCATTGTCCCTTCTGTGGTATATAGTTACATGCAATACTTTTACATTTTAATGACGGTCAGCTAGAAACTCTATAAATAAGAGGTCTCCATACATTATACTGATGTGTTTTTTTAAATGGGCGGTTGTCATGAGCACCTAAATAACACATTCGAGATTGTTTTTCAGCCGTCGAAAAGGCCCGAGAAGTTGATTTTACATGGTATAATATCCACTCATTATTTGACAGACTACACCTCAAATAATACAACGCATATGCTGTAAGCCAGGCAAGCTTAGTGGGAGCAGCTGGCGTTTATTTTGATAACGATACATAACTATCAGACATACATTACATTGTATGCGAAACAATAAAGTACTGCAATATATTTCTAAACTACGTTAATGTTATTCATTATGCCCCTATCGCAGGCATTAAAAACCGCCCAGAAAAAACCATAGACGGGTAACTATGGAAAACCTGTGTCCGCCGCCATGTAAATAATGTCTCAAGGGTGAATGCCGGACGTTCATTCGCCGCAGTACTTAAAATGCAAAAACACTATACAATATGTATATGTACATCATACAATGTTTTCCCGCTATTCTACGAAACGCGGGAAAACACTAGTACATTGGTCTTACTATTCGTCCTTTTTTTTTAAATTAAAATAAATGCCTGAACTATAATGCTAGTAGCAATGAAACATGGTGATAACGAACAGTAATCAAGATCAAAATCCAATTGAACAACAGAGCAAACACAAACCTCCAAAATCATCAGAGGCGAGATCATGTGCCATGGATGAGAAAGCATCTCCTGTCGACCGGTTACACCCGCCGTGTTCTCTTTGTCATGATCAGGTAAACGGAAAAATTCAAAGAAATTTCAGTGTCTAAATACAATTAGTATGAAAAATTTCAGTCAGCATTCGATCGTTTGATAGAGTGTATTTGCTGATATGTCATTGTATCGACCATAGAACTTACTAAATGATGACTTCAAACGATACTGTATATATCTTGTTTCCTCAACTTGTTTGTCAATAGCTTGCCTCAAAATTGATCGTACGAAGAGCATTCTCTTGTGTATTGCATCAACTGGGAGACATAAACCCCATATGCAGGTGTTAAGGGTATAATTGCAAGATGACGATAGAAAAGTTGAAGTCACCACTTTTATCATAAAATTTTGTTATTGGGTTAACATTAACTTCTTTTTCTAGTAAAATATCTAAATATGAAACAGGTGTGTCCGACTCTGTGGTGCCTTTTATTTCAGGTTCAGTGGAATATATCGAATCGACATATCAATGGAAGTAACTATTTTTAATTGATAATACGTCGTCGATATATCTTAATGTCGAGTTGAAGGCCTCATCAAGTGTTTTCTTCATCTCATGTGCAAGTTTTTGAATAAATTTTGCTTCATACAAATATAAAAATAGGTCTGCTAATAACAGCTCGTATAGGGTACCCAGAGGAATTCCAATAGATTGTTGGAAGACCTGATCTCCAAAATCTCTGAGATATTATCAATAAGAAACTCAAGCATCTTTTCAAATATCAACTTCAGAGTACTTACATGAACAATCAGAATGTTTGTAACCAAATAAATTTGTATATGACCATGACAAGGTACGTAAATTTTGAAAGTTCCATTTTCATTGAAAAAGCAGTTCTCTATGATTTCAAAAAGCCTGGACATAATTTATCGTGGGGGATGGTTGTATAAATGTGTATAAAGTCGTACGTTTTTGATGTTATTGATTTTGGTAAAATTATGTGATTTGAAATAAATAGCTGACCACAGTTAAATTTATTTTAATCTTTAATGATGATATAGAGCAGGCGAAGTATGCGTTCTTTAGGAAACTTTTGTTTAAATATTTTACTCACAATTTCATCTTATCAGATGGTGGCCACAATTATTATAACTTTTTTCGAAAAAAGACGATGTAAAGCAGAATTCTGTCATGGTAGGCCAGGACTTCCATTGTGAGTATTCATTCGCTTAATTTTAGACTCTCTGTGTATATGCTAGATATCATAAGTTTAATACATCAGGATTAGTAAAGTTTACTGTCTTTTTTCTCTTTATTTAGACCAACCAACTTCTTAGATGGAACTACAAATTCCATAGCAAATGCTGCAGCCTTTGGATGTACTCTTGAACATATTATGTACTATGTATTTATTGGCCCTATAAAATGGACAAACGAGAGATGGTTATTTTGTGAGTACGAGGGTTGTTCGATAAATTCGAAGATGATCGCAATATATTTAGATTGCGTAAAAGTACCCTTTCAATATTCTATCAATGAAATCTTTAGGAAAACTGTAATCGATATTTACAATATAAATAAAATAATTGAAATAACTAAATAAAATATCATTTAATTCTATGTTATGACTCCTTGCGGTGCAGTAGGTAAAATGCACTTCTTTAGAATTTAAATAGTCATATTGATAGGCAATAGATTTTTTATTATGGCGCTAAATATATTGCCACTCAAGTATTATATATAGTGGTGCAATGGTTAGAGCGCCAGCGTTTGTTTTAGAGTAGCGAAATAACGAATCGATCCTTTCTTCACGGCTGCTCAATGGACTTAAGTGCAAAGTATAGGTCTAAATTTGCACCGCTTCACTAATATTGAGACTCCACCACTTCACGGTGAAGGACTGCAAAATTAGACCCATACTCGGCACTAAGGTCCTTTGAGCAGTTAGGAATCTTTTTTTGTCAGCACCTACTGCGACACGGGACCTGGGTTTATACGGTCTCATCCGAAGGACAGGTTTCCGGCCCCACAGTGGGATTCGAAACCGTGACGTAAGGATCAAGTCCTTTCTCCGCAACTCAAGAGCAAACGTTCTATCACTGCTTCACGCAGGTGAACTTAATCGTAATATTTTATGAAAAGCACTAGTGCTGGCTATCTTTTTTTTGTTAAAAGGGAAATTGATGCACTTTTTCAGCACTCCAGCTTCTCCTTACATGCTTCCTAATGTCTTTAGTATTTTACCCAATATTTGCTTGCTTGAATTCACCATCAAGACTTTTTGGATCAACTATCGGATTTTTCTACACCTTATTATTGTGAGTAGTAAAGAAAATTCGATGTTTTCTTTATAAATTGTCATTTTAATCATTTTTTTAAATATTCAAAACCTGTATTTTATGAATATTATACTCGCAGGACTCTGGTTGTATTTAATCAAAATTACCTCTGTAACCAGGGAGCATGGGTAAGATATTGACAGTTTTCTTTGGTAAAAAATATTTTTGAGGGATAATTTAACCTTTATTTCTTTAACTATTTTAATGTGTGAGAGAGAGAGAGAGAGAGAAAGCGATACCTGGGTAATAAGGTTGGTCGAACGAAATTTTGTTAAGATAGTGCTGTAATAAAAAAAGTTTATACGAGAAGCATTATTTCAACATATGATATGTTTCTTATGTCCGTGTTGCTGCCAAAAGTATGATTTTTTTTTTTAAAGTTGTTTTATGTTTAGGGTGGAAATTTGATGTTTCAATATTAAAAGCATTGCTACAAAGTTTTTATAAGGGTCTCATAATTTAATGTTTCTATGGTGGCATATTTTTCCCCTCGAATGCAAGTTATTTTCCACAGATTATGTCAACATGCAAGTTATTATGTCGACATGCAACATAAATATGTTGACATGAAGGAAAATTGTAATCAGCTAATAATGTGGAATTTTTTTTCAAAATTATCGAAATCGCTCAGATGCAACTTATTTATGTTGATTTGCAACTTATTTAAATTATGTTGATTTGCAACTTATTTATATGTTGACATGCAGCTTATTTATGCTGACATGAAATTTTCTTCTGTTGACATACAAGATAAACATATCAGCATGCAACTTGTTTATGTTGACATGCAGAATAATTATGTTAGCATGATCAAGTACTTTATAAGCTATATATTTTTGTGGTATCGAAATGATATGTTTTTGGAAATCTTTTTTAAAAAATCCGAATTTGCGGAAAAGTCCCCTAGCACTAAGTTCCGCAATTTTCACGATGAGTTGAACCCGGGTTATTAATTCATGGATGTGTTGGAAATACTAAAACAACAACAGAAGTCCTGAACAAATATCTTAGAGCACCATCAGCAGTACATGCAAAAGTTTTTGTAGCAACTGAACTTGAACTTCTGTGTAAAGAATAAAAAGAATATGAAAAACAAATTTCCAGAATTTAATTTTCAAAGCTGCCTGGTACAAATTTGGTGCCCGAACACACAAAGATGTTCTGGCACAAAATTTATATCCGATGCGGCTATATAAGTAACTTTCATGCAAACAAATACATAAATATACATTTTATGTAGTAGTGTGTGTTTGAGTTTTGACTTACATATGTGCATAATTATCTTGCAAGTCAACATAAATAAGTTGCATGTTGACACACATTAGTTCATGTTAACATAAATACGTTGCACGAAGACATGAATAAGTTGCATTTTAACATAAATAAGCTGCATCTCAACATAGATAAGTTGCATGTTGACATGAATAGGTTTCATGTTGACATATCTCAAATGTAAGCACAACATAAATTAGTTGCATCTAGCATGTTGGATGTCATTTGTGGCCGATATTCGATATTTTTTTTTCGGGGGGAGGGGGGGGGGGTCCAGTTCTTAATTGATTAAATTTACCTTGCATGTTGACACAGTTCTGATGCATGTTGATATATTTATGTTGCATGTTGACATAATTATCTTGCATGTTGACATAATCTGTATAAAAATATGTTGCATACAGGGGCCAGAAATATGCCACCACATGTTTCAGATTATCAACGAAATATGTTATGGTACATGTAATAGTGGTGTTTTTTGTACAATCTTTGTGAAATCGAGCTTGCTATACTTTATCATTATTGAATCTGAATTAAGCATTATTTAGTATTCAAGTTACATCTGATTTCAGGAGTGGGCATTTTACGTGGTGGTTCTAATTTGTGAAACTTATCTGTTGGTTCTTTTCATTTACCGTACAGTTACATCACTGTCGAAGAAATCGGTCAATGTAAGTATATCGAGCGTAATTTTAGCAAAGATTAAAAAGAATTTACAATTAACCTTACCTTTGATTTTGTTTCAGTGCAAAGAACCTCTCGTCAAAGTAGATCAATTGTTACATGTCCGAGATTTGGTCCGGAAACCCAAAAACAGTTCTGAAGAAAATAGAATAAAGTAATTTATCATATTTTTTTAAAATAAACAAATCAACAGTTGTATTGATTTAAAAGATTTAAATTTATTGTAAGGTTTTGTTTCTTTAAAATACATGTATATCAAGAATTGAGGGAATGTTTTCGAACATTGTTTAAAGCACTTTTTTCATACATGTAAAAAAAAAAATCCATAAATTTATTTAAAGTAAGAATTTTTTTTATTCAAAATATCGTATCCAATGTCGGGGGTAAAACATATTTTAATGGATAATCAATACTCGGAAAATATTTAGGATAAAATGAAATATGAAGATATAACGAACAGTAATCAAGCTCAAAGGCTGTTGGAACAATACAATTAGGAGCAGAGCAAAAATGGACCTCCAAAAACGTTAGAGGTGGGACCAAGTGCCAAGAAGGAGTAAGCAATCCCCTGTCGATCGTCAAACTCACCGTGTGCTCCTTGTCAAAATAGGGCAAATGAAAAAATCCATAGACAATTCAGTGTGAAAATAATATTCTTACAATTTATATGAAAACGTCAGTCAACATTCGACTGAACGCTAAACTGTATTTGCTAACAAAGTCATTATATCGACCATAAAATTTGCAAGATGGTGTCTTTAAAAGTGACTGTTGATATGCTTGTGTCATCAATTTTTGGTCAATAACTAAAATTGTTCGCGTACATGGAACATGTACTTGCATATTGAATCAACCGGGAGACATAAACTCCACATGAAGATGATTGTTGAGTATTGCTATATAAGTGACGATAGAAAAGTTGAAGTCATCAGGTTAATCATTAAGTTCTGCTTTAGTTTTCCATTAATGTCTTCTTCTAGTAAATTATCCAAATATAAAACAGATGTGTCAGACTTTATGGTGTCTTTTATTTCCAGTTCATAAAGATCAACGTAGGGATGAAAGAGGAATTAAATTATGTCAATTTTTTTTCTAAACTGGTTAAGAACAAGGCAAAATATATGTTTCATACTGTGCTTTTAGAAAGAAGATAATTAAATACGCACACGGTATTTTGGATGAGGCAAAGCTATGCTGTCTACACAAAAGTCTATACAGATGTACCACGAGGACTGTTGCCATCAATACAATAGTCTTGCTTGTCTTTTATTATGTAATATCCTTCTCCAAGATATTCGACTTCTTTAATATAACAATAATATTACAATGAAACAAAACGTAAAGCTAAGATAAATATTCGACATTTTGAAATCTGCTTATGATACCTGTATCATACCTTTAGGCATTCCTATTGACCATCATTGTATCCAAGAATTTAGGACAATTGTATGATGACCTTTCGTCAAAAGAATACATCTTACTGGACTCGATCAAAATTTCAGAGAAAGTTCGCCGCTATTTGCAAACTGGAACACAGGTTATTAGAGGCAAGTACACATAAATGCCCTAACCAAGTTGAATAGTATTTTTTGTTTTCTCAAAGTTGTAAAATCATAAAGAAAATGTTATATTCATTTGCTCTCTCTCTCTCTCTCTCTCTCTCTCTCTCTCTCTCTCTCTCTTTAGGCAGTATTTATTTTCAAGGCTAGAAATGTAAAACCTTGCTTTCAATTTTCAATAAATACTTTTAACCATACATTTTTACATTTCAGTCTCCCTTATCATCGCTAATGTCCTTTCAGCTGTTTATCTAATCGCCAATATGGTCCTCATCTATCGCTCTCAGAGACAACATATCATTCAGATATGGAGAGGAGACAGATCTTTCATTCCTAGAAATTGTATTCAAACACATGGTGATATGGTGGTTTGTAGATCTCTTATTTTATATGTTTTTATTTTCAAAGCTTACCAAAACTGATTCTTATGACTGGCTTATGATTACATTTCCATAATGCAAAAACAATGTAAAAAAACATTACATTTCCTATCATAAAAAAATTGACTGATATTTGAATAAAATCATGCGATTAAAATACATTTTATCTTCCAGATGAAAAGTTTGATGTATGCAGGAAACCAAGTTTCGCATCTTCTTGGAGGTTTAATTTGTCTTTAATTAAATTATTAATATTATAATTAGGATTAACATTTCAACTGTTTTAATGTGAAAAAATAACAGGATATAAAATTTTCTATCGATTGGTCCTGAAATGTCTTTTTAGAATGTAATTTAATATATATATATATATATTTCCCATGTAGGTTATATAATTTCACAGACAGTTGTGTTTTTATTCTGTGTTCTCCTGGCCTATTGTGTTGTCTTACCTATCATGAAAGAGGTTCCTGTAAGCTTCCTTTCACCATTGGAGGCTTTATTGTAAGTATTAGTTTATTTTCATCTTCAATTTTAATATTTAGTTACATTTTTAATTAGATTTTAGTATATATACATATCATTTAGTCGTATTTTGGCTGACTTGTTTCATACCAATTTTTTGGCCTTTGTTTTTATACTGAATTTGACTATGGGAAGTTTCGTCTACCTGATCAATAGATAGGACTCACAGCCGGTGTGACCGGACAGGGAATGCTTACTCCTCCAAGGCACCCTGGGCTCGTATCATAAAGCTTGCTAAGTTTTTTACTTAAGTAGGGTCATAAGTATGAGTTAAGCAAAATCTTAGGACCAGCCTAAGTACTTTTTGTGTATGTCTTAAACCGTAACATAAAACGAACTTACCGAGGTCTTAGCTAAGTCAAACTTACGTTCAACATGATTCTCTAGGTTTTCACTTTATTCAAAAAGTGGCAATGGTTCAGTGTAAATGCATGACTTTTGTTTATGACTGGAGACTGTGATATTTTCAGTTACTTTTTCTTGTTATTCTTGTGTTTTGACAAATGTTCACACGCTTTGTCATTGTCGCAGACATGGCACGATAAACGAAATTGAAACTCTAATAAACAAAAGTACAAAACAATAGGGGTATTTTGAAATCCCGACCCCCACTATATATCAGCGAATGTCAGCAAGCAAAGACTGTGATGTTTTATGATAAACTTATTTACAATTTAATCAAGGATCGAAAAGAATAGCTTTTTGTATGTCTCCAACTTATCAACAGTTCTCTCTCTCTCTCTCTCTCTCTCTCTCTCTTGGACGGTAGAGAATCGATGTCTGAATTTTCGCTTGTTGTGTTCTACTTTAATCTAATTTTCAGACATTCTTTGATAGCTTTCTAGTCAACATCGTCTAATTCACCGACAATTTTCGTATATTTAAAAATCTATTTCATTTCATATTTTCATAGTGAACATACAAATCCATGATTACAGTGTACAATTTACTTATAATGATAAGCGTTTATAACCTAGTCCCAGTAGCATTTCAATAGTATCCAAAAAATAAAATTTGTGTCTACGTGTACTCCATGTAGAGAGTGATTATTGGAATCAGTGATCAATAACACCCCACCCCACCCACCCCCCTTCTCGACGAAAAAATAAAATTCTTATACAAGTACTTAATAGAGATATTTATTTTCCTAATACATAATATGAATAGAGGAATGTTTTAACGTCGGGATTCAACATTTAATAGTTCTAAATACGTGTACATATAAGTTAAAACATACTTAAGTCACCTCTATCGATCGCTTAAGTTTTGCTAAGATTATCAAATCCTAGCACGCTTCTAGTTACGGTCTTAAGTTTTAGACTGTACTTAAGTCCTTCTTAAGCATGGTCTCAATGTTACAACTTTTATGTCTTTATGTTACAACTCCCTAAACCCATTTGTGGAATTTCCAGGGGTTCGTGTTTAATGCCCTCTTACATATTTGTATTGTTTGTAGATATTTTATTTCACTGTTCGTTATCTTCACCTTTTACATGTTAAAATTCTTAATTATTCTACAGTATATTATCTTACCGCTTTCAGACCTGGAGTGGTATTCATGTTCATTTTTCGAGTTGTTCTTAGAATCATCAGTCGTAAAGCTTTCTTACAAAATCATTACATCAGTTCTGACAACGGTGAACATTGGGAGAAAGTACTGGCTTTGGACAACAGGTAACCATGATTAAATGGGTAAAGTTTTTTTTTTCTTTACTTTTTTGTATCATATTTTTCCTCCAAAGTTCTCCAGTGATGGATTCTTTATGAGTGAAAAAACAAAAATCTACATATTTTTTTTCAGGCGAGTGTACCAGAACTTGTCCTATTTCCTGTTTTTCTACTATATACTGATAGGTTTATTCAGATGTCTGTACCGTGTTATGATGTCCATGTGTTTGGGACTATTTTACATAGCGCGTATGGATAGATCTGTGTTATTTCCTGGATATGAACATCTTGATATAAGTAAGTACACTAAAAATGTCGTCTATACTTATGTAAAGAACAATGATTTGATGCAAATCCGACGAAACAAATCTCATTTAATTGATTATGACTTTTATGTAACGGTTAAGTTGAAAAACTGAAAGAAGATTTATTGTATTTTAACTTAGAACCTTTTAGCCACGGTAGAAAAATCCAATACAGTATTCTGTTTAAGGTTATATGACGTACCTTGGCTTCCTGGAAGTAGAACTTCACCATTGCCACCCAGTAGTTGTTGTTTTTTGTGACCAGATGATCAAAGCTGTAAAACTGAGCTCCTCTTCATCCAGTAAAAAACACAATTCATTGCAAAATGCTCATGAAAGTAGCGAGTATGATTTTTCCCAAGGCTACACAGCTAAAGTAAGAAATAAGTGGCAAAAGATGAAAACTTTGATCTGTAACCAGACACTTTGTAAAGATTCTAAATCAAATTGTTCTTTTGAGCATCCTCTTCATGCCAAGAAAACAGTAGTGGAATCCTCAATAATTACACCCCCCGACAAAGTGTAAATAAAAAGTATTAAACCAATTATTTTTTGTCATTTTATAGTTTTGGTATATTTTTTAGAAATAGGAATTTTAAGTTTTCAACGTCATTTACCTCAACTAAAGGAATCTAAAATCTATACAAACATCAATATGGACATTTATTCCAATTTGAGTTTTTGTACCACATAATTTTATTAAATTTATTTAAGTACTAAGCGTTTATATGTGTGGTGTAGATATGATAATTAACCTGTATTGTAAATATTGACCAAAGAAAATCGCATTGTTTCTTTTTTTGATTTTATTTGTATATTGATTAGATTTATTTTCATCTGCCAAAGTATCCAGGGAGAAAATTAATTTTGTTTTACAACACTTCAGAAAGACGATTTACCCCACTACAATTATTATGTTCTCTTTCAATTAGAATTACTTAGTCATAATAATTTTTTTTTCAAAAATACACATACTTCTTCTTTTAAATCTATTTTCTTAACTTTTATACATATAAGACTATGAATTCTTTGATTGTATGGTGCAGGCATGTATTATTCAAACCCTCAAATCAATAATTTACTGAATCAGCTGATTCTAAGATTCATATGCAAAGGAAATATTCAGATACATGTAATGACTATGGAAAGAATGAATTAGATCATTCAGTTTGTACAGAAAAGTGTCAAAATATATTCTCCCTTTTTTAAATCATAGATGCAGTGCTTTCTAAGGAAAGTAAGCTGTAGTAGATGATTAACTAGCAAGAGGTTTTAATTTTGGATTATTTCCATTTTCCAAAATTTAAGGAACTACGAGGGTTCTTTGAGTTAACGTCATATTATATGTGATTTGACATCTTAGAATTCGTAATCATTTTGTAGAATTCATTATACTTATGTATATTGACATGTTTAGAAAAAAATCTTTAATAGCATTATTCTGTCAATGAAATACACGTGTAAGATTCAATTTAGCTATTCTGATCAAAGTTTGCCCGCCGTCTGTTGGTCTGTTTGTGTATCAATTAATTTATCACATGGGTATATGAAAAAAAAAATTAAAAATCTCCTTCTCAGGAACAGCAAAAATATGATTTGTCATTTAAGATGCCAGTATCTTCATCTAGCGTAGATTCAAGTTTGTACATATTATAGTCGGGGGGGGGGGGAACAAACAATAGGAGACAAAGTTCATCATTGTAATATAAAAGAAACGCCTTTTAAAATCTTCTCAAGAACAGCAGTGCAATTATGCCATATCATTATGCAAGCATGAAAAATAAGTAAATCCCATCTTGATACCTTTATATTTATACACAAACACATTATCAAATTGGAATTTGAGACTTTTTTAATTTTTTTGCATTTTTGTCCCCCGATTTCGCGAAAGCGACGGGACATTAAGGACATATGCAACGTACCTTACCTACTGATAATTTTTCAAGATGATCTAAATTTAAGATTATAGTGCCGTCAGACATTCGTAGACAAAAAATCAGCATGCATTACCAGGGGTTTTGAAAAGATATCAATTGATGAAATTTTTTGTATAATTCAAAGGAAAATATACAAAAATTACTGAACATATATTCTAGATGTTTTGTTTATCCAAACTTGTTTTAAAAGAAGTGTACAACAGCATATATAGACATTCAAATGTAGCACACAGATCCTTTAAGTATTGGAACTCTTCAACTCCAGGGAAAAAGACAATAAAGTTCAAACTACGTTGCGTATGCCCTTAAATCTCATTCTTGTGTCCGTCTGTCAGACTGTCTGTCACAATAACTTTAACCTTGGTCATAACTTTTGAATGAGAAAAGATAGGGCTTTCGTATTTCACATGAACATTACCTGTGACCTCTCCAAATATACTGTGATTTTTGACCCCGTGACCTTGACCTTAAAATTTTATATTCTTCTCAAAAATTTTAACATTACTTTAAATTGGCCATAAGTTTTGAATGAGAAAAGATAGGGCTCTCATATTAAACATGTATATTACCTGTGACAAGACCTTTCCAAATATTTTATGATTTTTGAAGTTTGGCCTACTTTTTTTTAAAAAAATTATCTTTGCTTATAACTTTTGATTGAGGAGAGATAGGGCTCTCATATTTGACATGTACATTACCTGTGAAAAGACTCTTCCAAATATACTGATTTTTTACCCCTTCACTTGACCTTGAAGTTTGACCTACCTTTCAAAAAATTTAACATTACTTTAAATTGATCATAAAATTTGAATGAGAAAAGATAGGACTTTCATTTTTGACATGTGCATGACCTGTGAAAAAGTGTTTCCGAGCATGCTACGATTTTTGACCCCTTAACCTTGACCTTCATGTTTGACCTAATTTTCAAAAATTTTAATTTTGGTGATTACTTTCGAATGACATATGATAGGGCGTCCATATTTGACAAGTGAATTACCTGTATCAAAATGATTCCGAATGTGCTGTGATATCTGATCCCGTGACCTAAACCTTCAAGTTTGACCTAATTTTCAAACATTTTTTCAATGTTGCTTACTTTTGAAGGAGCGAAGATAGGGCATTCATACTTGACATGTGCATTACCTGTGACAAGCATTTCCACATGTAATTTGATTTATAACCCCATGATCTCGAAGTTTGACCTAATTTTCAAAAATTTTAATATTTCAACATAACTTTTGATTGAGAGAAGAAATTGCATTTACATTTGACATGTGCATTATCTGGTTTAAGACCTTTCCGATTGTAAACTCCGGTTTTTGATTTTTTTCACATGTGCATTACTTGTGACAAGACCTTTCGGTTGTATCATGATATTTGACCTCATTACCTTGATCTTGAAGTTTGATGTGGTTTTGAGAAGCTATAATCTTTGTCATAACTGTTATTAATTCAGTAATTTATGTCTATTTTGTATAATGCACAGACAAGACAGGACACACAAACAAGACAGTTACAATATGCTATAAATAATGGCATCCCATCCACTAAAACACCGTGAGCGGGGAACCTCATTTTTTTTTAATTTGCTAGTTTTTTTCTGATTTTAGATACTGACATTTCAAAAACTAATAATAATTCTGTTTATAAAAGACAGTCATTCATGGAAAACTTTACTTTATGATAAACGTGTTGAATTAAAATTTTTCAACGTCAACTCCTTTTTATAAGCAATATACTAGTTTCACTTGCAAATGATGTTTATGTCTTCTAGTTGATTCGGTTCGCAAGAGCATGATCTACGTATGATCAACTCATAAAACTAAGCAGTCTGCTGGCAAATAATCTGATGTTAAAGGGTGTCATTTTCTCAAAATTCAATGGTCGATACAAAGTCCTTATTTGAAACGTTTAACCTTTTAAGTACAAACTGTTCGGTTATTATTTTTACCATTTGTCTACACACTACCCCTTTTACCAAAACAAGACAAAGGGTTCGCGGTCGTTATTGCCGGTCGACAGGGGATGCTTTCACCTTCATGACATCTAATCTAACGTCTGATGTTTCCAGGGGTCTGCCATTGCTCTGTCAATGAAATACATGGAGATAACGAACAGAACTCAAGCTCAAAAGTCCATTTAAACAATGCAAATCAGGAGCAGAACAAACACGGACCTCTAAAAGATCAAAGGTGGGATGAGATGCCATGGAGGATTCAGCATCCTCTGCCAATCGGTCACATCCACCGTGTGCTCCTTGTCATGATCGGAAAAAACGGGAAAATCCGTAGATAATTCCATGTGTAAATAATGGCCCAACAATTAGTATGAAAAAAAATCATTCAGCTTAATGATAGATTGTATTTGCCGACAGAGTCATTGTATCGACCATAGAACTTAAGAAATGTTGAATTTCAACGATACTGTTGATATTTTTGTTTCATCAACTTGTTTATCAATGACTTAGCTCGTTTTAAAAATTGTTCATGCGTAGAGCATGCTGAGAGATACACTGAGAGACACAAACCCCGAATGCAGGTGATAATAATACGAGTATATTGCTGCATAAGTTAGGGAAGTTGACAATTGAAAAGTTAAAGTCATCACGTTTATCATAAAGCTTAGTTTCTAGAGGTTACCATTAACGTCTTTTTCTAGTAAAATATCCAAATATGAAGCAGATGTATCACACTCTGTTGTATCTTTTATTTCAAGCTCACTGGGATATATCGTGTCGACATATGCAACTGAGATATATCGTGTCGACATATGAATGGAAATAACTATTGTTAATTAATAATGCTTCGTCGATATATCTAAATGTCGAGTTGAAGGCCACAGCAAGTGTTTTCTTCTTCTCATGCATAAGAATAAATTCTGCTTCATATGAATACAAAATATGTCTGCTAATAACGGAGCGCAGTTGGTACCCATGGGTATTCCAACAAATTGTTGGAAGACCTGGTCTCCAACAATCACATAGATATTGTCAATCAGAAACTCAAGTATCTTCTTAATATAAACTTTAGAATACTTGTGTGTACAATCAGAATGTTTTTAACAAAATATTTTGCAATTGACCAATGATAAGGTAAGTAAATTTACGAGTTCTATTTTTACTGAAAAAGCAGCTGTCAATGATGTCAAAAAGTCTGGACTTCAAAATATTTTTGGGAATGGTTGTTTATATAGTATGAGAAGTCGTTAATTTATAATGTTAATGATTTTGGTAAAATTTTGTGATTTCAAATTTTCCAAATGTTCCCTGGAAATTTTTAGAATCCACGCCTGATTTACACAACTTCTCGAATATATATAATATATATAGAAAGCACTACAAAAACCAACAACACTGTATATCCTAAGTGTCGGATCTACTAAATAGATACAAGTTCAAGGATGGAAATAAGAGCCCCGTTACAGGCCGCATGTCAAGATAACGAATAGCAATCAATACAAAAATTGGTGCAACACTATATATATATATATATATATATATATATATATATATATATATATATATATATATATATATATATATATATATATATATATATATATAATTTAATTTCGTTTGTATACTAGCCTCTGATTGGTTAATATCCAAAAAGGAACACAAATTATTTCTGTATAACCTGGTTTGGTATGGGGACACACCCCCCTGACAACCAGCTGAATCACCTGTATCCATACAATCCTCTCATTTCCAGTCCTCGGGATTCATGGAAAATTCCAGATTTAATAAATGTACCTTTAATTTCAAACAATAATTCGATCTTACCACATGTAACCAAACAACATGGCTGCCATGCCTATGTATCAGTTTTTACCTCCCCTCGATTCCCATCACTTCCGTTACTTCCGTTACTATGGTTGTATTATTGAGCGGCAAATTTGAACTAATAAAAAGTAACGAAATTTTAAACCCATAGTTATTTAATGATTTTAAAATTAAATTATAAGGAATGACTCTAATTCTTGGCCAAATTATTCGAGTATAACCTGGTTTGGGTCAGTTTACGCTGTTTTATAATCCGCTTCGCGGATTATAAAGCGTAAACTGACCCAAACCAGGTTATACTCGAATAATTTGGCCAAGAATTAGAGTCATTCCTAATATATATATATATATATATATATATATATATATATATATATATATATATATATATATATATATATATATATATATATATATATATCCAAAATTGAAATAAAGTCTCAGTAATCGGATTACAATATTAAACAAATATAAAAAGAAAACACAAGAATCCTCCGTAAAGCTTTAGCGCTTTCATTAAAAATCTTCAGAAGCTTTACATTACAAAAATGTATACAACGGTAACATAGTAACAATGATTATGACGTTAAACTAAGCGGAACGTTTAATGTCTATATTGTGACGTCATAGATAAAATACTGCAATGATGATGAAAAAGTTCGGGAAAATCATAGGTAGTTTATAAGAGACTATTAAGTTTTGGCTTTAGAATACAAATAAAATGTTTTTCTTTTTCCCGTCTCTGGATATCACTGGCACATCTGAGTTTATAAAAAGGGAAAATGTTAAATTGTTTTTTTTTTCCACAAGTTTCCAGGTGTGCACTTAACTGGATTTGTCTATATTCAGGTGTACTGATGTGTTGCTTATGTACACGTACACGGGCACGGAGACTGTTGCCAGTTTCACCAATATAATATTCTTTGCATCCAGGACATATGATGGCGTATATGACATCTTTCGTATCACATGACATGTTGGCATTAACTTTAAATTCACGCCCGTTAAAACTATAACTCGTCCCTTCTGTAATGTAGTCACATGTGCCGCAGCGAGGGTCCGTACACAAGAAGGATCTGTACCATTGTGAGCAATATTAATACGAGGGATATCCGTTTGGAGGAATTAAAATTGTATTTATTGAGTCAAAATACCCAGAGCAACTGGTAGATAATAGTATTATGAAAGCCAAGGAGTGTGATAGAACACAATTACTTTCAAACACACGACGTGCGAAGGACGGAGAAACTATACCCTTTGTTCACACGTACAATCCGAGAAATAAAAACATCAATTCAATTGTTTATGAATTAAATAGCTTACTTAGAGAGGATGAACAAACGAAAACTACATACAAAAACTGTCGTTTTATCAGCAGTAAACGTCAGCCCATAAACCTTAAGAGAATACTTTGTTCCTCCCAATTCGCTGACCATAATTATACAGTGTCAAAGTGTACGGACCCTCGCTGCGGCACATGTGACTACATTACAGAAGGGACGAGTTATAGTTTTAACGGGCGTGAATTTAAAGTTAATGTCAACATGTCATGTGATACGAAAGATGTCATATACGCCATCATATGTCCTGGATGCAAAGAATATTATATTGGTGAAACTGACAACAGTCTCCGTGCCCGTGTACGTGTACATAAGCAACACATCAGTACACCTGAATATAGACAAATCCAGTTAAGTGCACACCTGGAAACTTGTGGAAAAAAACGATTTAACATTTTCCCTTTTTATAAACTCAGATGTGCCAGTGATATCCAGAGACGGGAAAAAGAAAACCATTTTATTTGTATTCTAAAGCCAAAACTTAATAGTCTCTTATAAACTACCTATGATTTTCCCGAACTTTTTCATCATCATTGCAGTATTTTATCTATGACGTCACAATATAGACATTAAACGTTCCGCTTAGTTTAACGTCATAATCATTGTTACTATGTTACCGTTGTATACATTTTTGTAATGTAAAGCTTCTGAAGATTTTTAATGAAAGCGCTAAAGCTTTACGGAGGATTCTTGTGTTTTCTTTTTATATTTGTTTTATATATATATATATATATATATATATATATATATATATATAGTGTTGCACCAATTTTTGTATTGATTGCTATTCGTTATCTTGACATTTCTTTGAGAAATTAAAATGAAATTACTGCAATTCTTAATGAAGAGTATGATTGCCATTTTAATCTTATACATGCTAGGTACTAGGTGACCTGAGGAAGAAACCTATAGATTCAAAGATCTGAGTCAAAGACAGTGGTACATGTAGTTGATAAAACGTCAACAACGTGGTGGATACGATTTGACAAAATTTATTTGACAACCAATTAATCACATATACTTGCTATATTTATGTTTGTATGAAGTTTATTCACACGAGTCCAAATCAATAAAAGCGTTTATCAGTTTATTAGGAGCTTTCAGGCAAATAGTCAGAATATAGCTTGGAAGGCGCATGGTTGGCTCACAATCTATAATAATTAACTTTGTAGATTCCAGTACATCGCAAAATCATAAGACTAACTTAGAATACACCTTTTGTGCAAACATTTCTCGCTAAATTACTTACAAACTAATTAAATTTCAGATGCATTCTTGAGAAAAAAATATTTGTTATTAAATTTAGCTACTTAAATTTCTTGATAAACATATTTAAATAAAACATTACGGAATAGTTTAGTTTTTATATTCAGAAAATACCAGTTAAGACTCATTTTTCCATTCATGATAGATTTAATCTTGGTTGTTCGAATTTTTTGTTTGTTTTTGACGTTTTACACAAGGATGAATTGTTACTAAGTGTTAGCATTTTCATCCATTTATTGTAAATCTGGTTATTATAGGCCCTGGCACTGATACTCCTGACAGAACTATAGCTCTTTCTCGCTAACTCTGTTTTACTTGAATTCGGTGAATGTAGACTTAAATCTGTTTTATCATCATGCTCCTTGAGACTTTTCAACAATTCCTCACAGAATACACGCAGTACAGGATGGCAATGGACCAATTCCACGTGTAAAAGACCTATATATATCATGTATCCTTAAAAAAAAGAAATGAATGAAATTATAACGCTATAGTATATACACGCTATATACGGGTATATCTAAAAGTTTATGTTATTTATCACATGTATCTCAGGAAATCAGTAATGTGAATTTTAAAAAAAAATCCAGTGATTTGTTTTACAATTTTAAAGAAATTGGACAAAAATATACAACATAAAAAGGACACATTATTTGATAAATGATAAAATCGTACCATTATCGTAATGTTCAAATCCAGACACTAAGACACTTCTGTCAAGTCTCGGGACAAATACCAGACCAATCACGAGTGAGTACATTACCCGACGGAGACATTTAAAAAGTCCGATTAGTATGTAGAAGAAAAACAAAAAGAAGGAAAAGTTGTGGTAAACTTTCCTGAAAATATAAAAAGAAAACTACTACACATGTATCATGTTTGCAGCATGAAGGAAAACTAATTTGTCTTATTAATCAATTCTTTTTATTAATATTTGGTTTCATTAATTTAATTGCAAATTTGGTGGTAAATTATTTTAATCAGTATTTATTTATAATCTTAGAACAAGATCTTGAGTCAAATCTGAGGGAAAAAACTATATTTTTCTTTGCTATCAGATAATAATATAATAACAATTACAAAATAATCATTGATTTTAGAACCATTGAATGAGTACAAATATTATACAATAATCTTTTATATTACATAAGAAGATTATTTCGCAATTTTTATTGGCTGAAAGAACTTTAAGTGATATTCAGCCTTTTGTGATATTAACGCGAAAGCCGGTCCCTGGAATATGACATCGCATGACTCACCGTTCGGCTGCACCAAAGTTACGTATAACGTGACGTAATAAAATAAAAAAGCAAATTCTTACCATTGTGACGTAAGGACAGCCAAGTCTTTTCAGTAAGGATTGTGTCAGATTTTTCATTTTGAGTGATTATATAACTATTATGGACTTCAGTGAACAGTTACTATGTGGTAAAAAGGATCCATGTCAAGTGATATTGATCCCAAACACAGAAAATAAAACTTTGTCTTCGGTCAATATCACTTGATATTGGTATTATAACTGAAGTCCATAATTGTATATTAGCGCCTACATTATCGATTATAATTTGATCTGAATCTGCATTCGATATCAGTATGCAACATTTTAATGTAAATTCGTCAGATTTCAGATATCAGCGTTTTCATATGCCTTTGCACAAAAAAAATCATTAAATAAAAAAAAAACATACCTATTATCTAAAGCTAATGTCCTTTCAACTCCAACACCATTTTTTGATGATATCCAGTATTTTTGTAAAAATATCTTCTCTGACAGCTTTTTTAACGCATAAACAAAGATGAAAGTAACTACTACTGAGGGTCTGAAATAAAAAGCAGTATACAAATTCAAAACGATGTTCAGTTTCTTGCATTATTTTACTAGATAACAGTCAATGAATCAATATTAATCGTTTTTTGTGGTGACTGTTAACAATACATCTAAAAAATAAATAAGTAACTTGTGTTTATCCCAGGATTTATGCTTTGAAAATAACTTTTTATTCAATCATTTAATCAATGTAAAAGAGAGTATTTGGTACAATTTATCATAGCTGCATATCATAAATAGCCATGTAGCAATACATGCATCAATAGCAACACATTATTTTCATTAAACATACATATCTGTTCTTACATTAAGAATTTCACTGGTTGAAGAAATGCCTCTGGAACCTTTCCAAGGAGAGGAAGAATGACGAAAAACGCAAGGATCATGCATAATACAAACACCACCAGAACAGAAATTAGGTAACCTTAAAAACAGAAAAATTAATTAATTCATTTACAGGTTTATTATTAGACATTCAAGTAAGGTTATTGCACAATCCAAAGAGATGCTGCGGCCATTATTCTCCAATAAATCACAAACGTCATCGGTTTCCTTTAATTTTGACTGCCTTCACTAGGAAAAGGATAGAGGTATCTTTTGATTGTGATGCAAATTGATGGAAAAAAATTACTTTGAGTTCGGATTACATCGTACTTTTTCTAATCCTTGAGATACGAATGAACGAGGATAGCATTTAATTGTGACGTCATAAGACTCAAATCTAGCTTCTGCATTTCTCTATAAGAAAAGTTTAAATATTCGCCGTAGCAGAATAGAAATAATCCCCCTCATCGTCGGAATTGTTGGAGAATATACCCCTCAATCTGGGGATTTTGTTGGCAAATAAAAACCGAGCCCAAAGGGCGAAGTTTTTATTTGCCAACAAAATCTCCAGATTAAGGGGTATATTCTCCAACAATTCCTCCGACGCGGGAATTATTTCTTAATTTTAGGGGGATGAAATATGACACATATTTATTAATTGACCATTAACAAAATGCTTATGGATCACACGTTCAGCTGAGTCAGCATTCCTTTCTAACAAATGAAGTGAAAATTAATGCATTCTCTACTTTTGCACCAACTTGGCTCTCTAGCTTTACTACATGATTTATTTATTTAAAAAAAAAAACTTGTTTCTTATTCCGAATTTCCTTCATTCCTCTGTTCTTCTTCCGTTGGAAGTTTATGCATGGTGTTGAGCGTTATTCTTCGTGTGGTGTTCATGATAAATGCCTTACAGGCAATATATTCAGTTAAAATATGAAGGTTTAAAAACATTTGGCCTCTTAACTTACTCTACACACAGCTGGTGTGGTGGTAAGCTGCCTGGTGCTGACCTGAGCTCTTCTTTAGAACTAGTTGATGTTACTACCGGTAGCAATCTGTTCCATTCCCATATGGTTCGCGGAATAAAGGAGAAAAGATTCACGTCCTTCCTGGTAGATTGAATACGGTCTCTAGTTCTGCTTTCTGTGAGGGTCAGGCAGATGTCTGCTGGGATTGCTTCCAAGTTCTGCTTGATCTTAAATGGTAGCAGGAGGCAGATCTTGACTCTTCTAACTGATTGTTGTTCCCATCCCAAAGAGCTGATCATGTTGAAGACACTACGTTGTTGTCTGTCCCAATAGTTTTTGGTCATAAATTGCATTGCTCTGCGTTGAACCTTCTCTATTAGGGCGCTTTGACAGATGGTATGAGGATCAGATAGGAGCATTGTACTCTAACATAGGTCGTATGATAGCCTCAAATGCTCTGATGTTCTGTATCCTATAAGATTTCGTTTGGGAAAGCCAAGAGTTTGGTTTCCTTTTGCTGTTAGGCATCAATGTGTTTAACTCACGGCGTTGCTGCCCAGGTACTTTCTTTGAGTCACTCAAGAGCGCTGATGACCCTGCACTTGGAAGCCACATGGATCACCACACACTTCTCAGGGTGAAACGCCATCTGCCCCACTCCCTCTTCCATTTCTCAAGAGCTTCCAGGTCATCATTTCACAGAAGTGTCCTCTGCACAGTTGCCTGGTTGATATAATAAGCAGTTATCCGTAAATAGTCGGACCTCTGCAGTAGTTACCTTTGGCAGATCGTTGATAACAGAGAAATAACAGTGGGCAGGACTTGCTGTTGTCTATTGTTAAGGAAGTCCTCACCGGAGTGTGTTCCTCACACCATAGTTTCCTAGCTTGCGTAATAGTCTCTGGTGGGGGACCTTGTCTAATGGTTTTGAGAAGTCAAGTACAATAGGTCTACTTGTCTTCCCTCGTTCAAATGTAAGCATTGGTGATGGTCAGCTGGGTCTCACAGGAGAGTCCTGATCTGATGCCATTTGACAGTCACTGAGACTGGTCGAAATGATCCATTATCTGGTTATGGATGATATTCTTTAGTGTCTTGCAAGATTATTGAAATACACGTTGATATCCGATTAAATTATTTCCGATTACTCAATCAACTGAATAGTAAGTGGTTTATAGTTAAAATATATAAAAAATATATATATTTACAGTGCATTTGAAAGACTAAATACGAAAACAAATTTGATTGATCAGTTCATTTTAGAGGAGAGAGTCTAATGATCAGAAAAGAGCATAAAATATATTACCTTGTAAAAAGGCTAATAAGATTGTTTATTTGAATTTAATTCATTTTCATACTATTGATTATTGATTTACCGGTATATATCATTCGATCCAATGACTCACAGTGAAAATTTAACTTAATTTACGAAAGAAAAGGAAAAGACGAACCTAATTCTTTTCACTCATTTAATTTAATTTTTTAAGCATTTTATACATTATATTGTCTCTGTTGATTTAAACGAGGTAAGTCTTGACAAAATTAAAAGTCAGGAGTCAAATGATAACAAAATGCATTCGTTTTGGCTTTTTCCAACTTAATTGTGTTAAAACAGTTTCAAATAAAGTCATTGAGATTGTAACAAATAATAATAATAACCCAAACCTAGAACACTAGTTGCCTTTTACTCTGGAAATATCAATTTTTTTATGTTTGACAAAAACTGATAATGGCCTGCAAAACTTTTAAAACGCTGAAAGATTTATTCAAGTTCCGCAAACTCTGAGTGCTTACTTTGTTTGAAATGATGAGGTGACGAAGAATATAACGAAATGTTAAATGTATCTAATCAGCAAAGACACTCAACAGATAGACGGACAGATGGACACTTTTGATCAAATAAGCTCATTTGAACCTCTGACTCAGATAATCATAAAATCCTTCATTTTCATAAATTTAAGTAATCTTGAAGCGAAAATTAACTGCTGTACTTACCCCCAAGAAGGTGAGAAACTTGAGTTCCGGCATATATCAGTGACTTTGTCTACAGAATGGATTCTTTTTTATAAGAATGTAATTTGTGTCAAATTTTTGCCTATACAAGATTTACTTGTAGAAAGAACAAGGTATGGTTTCAATAAAAATCTTGCCCTGTGTTTTTCTTAAAAATAAAAGTGATGTAAAAAATTAAAACTCATGCTTTCTGAATTACTGAAAGTCCATGCAGAAAGATCATACAAATCTTTTTTCTCACATGACCTTCCAAATGCTAATTGTGACGTCATAAACTTGTGCATTTTCCCGTATTTTCTTAAAATGTTGCAGAAGACACCAATTTTCAATGGAATTTTCTTTCAGATAATACTGTCCACAGGCATAGCCCACAAAGATTTTGAGATATGTGATTTTTCAAAGAATTTTACACAACATATCTAAAAATTAACGTGGGCGACGGCTGTGGACACTATTTTCTTAAGGAAAATAACCCTTGAAATGGGTCATTTGAGGCTTTTTCTGTTTAAAATAGAGAAATGCATCAAATTAATGACGTCATATATCCAGAATGGTACTCCATCATGCTATATTCTTTCCTGATTCATTACAGTCATATACTCAACTAATATTTAAGCCAGTTTCAAAACTTTTTGAAAACATTAAATTTTTAGGGCACAATAAAGCTAAAACCATACCTTCTTCTTTGCTTTTTAAATACAAAATACACGAGGATCCTTCTTTACAGTATAAATCACGGACAAAATCCCTGCTATTTACAGAATACTAAAGACAAAAATTAAAAGGGAGAATACACTGTTTAAGCAAATTGACATATTATACTGACACTTGGATCAGAACAACTAACTGAGGAACGTTATTTTTATAATTGTCGATGCAAAAAGTGAAATTTCTCTGTAAGCAAGGATTTCACTACTTAGAAGCATCTTTTATCGTCGGGGGAAACCAGACCAAAACATATTTTTATGCAAAAAAAAAAAAAAAAAAAAAAAAAAAAAAAAAAACAGAAAGGTGAAAATGTTGTATCTAAACTTTGTCCGGCTGAGGTTTGGCGGCTGTATTTCACGACTATAGATGGTCTGTTAAGGAAATTTACAGAATAATTATCTAGTTTTTGAATGGTAAACATGTATAATTTTCGTCAAATTTAAAAAGATAGATGTATTTGAATGTGGATGATTGCCGTTATTGACGTTTAACCTTTATTTAATATAACTAATTGCTTCTTCCCTTGTGTCTTTTTATTGGATCTGTCAGTAGTAAAAAAAATTTTGGCGGAAGTTCTGATAATACATTGATTCCCCTTAAATAATTTACTATTTCCATTGGTTGGGGAGAAATTGCTTATAGTGAAGAATGGTTATAGAGGGGTTATAGGGGTTGAATGTTAAGAGGGAGACAGAAGAAGAAACATTAAAGATATTTTGGATAACTTTCATAAAGAATATTGGTAATGCATAAAATTATCGCACGAAGAGTACTAACCACCATGTCCCGGCTGTCCATTTCTAAGCATTTCTTTGGTATAAAGGATCTGTCTCCTCTCCAAACACTGAGGAGATGTTGTCTCTGTGAGTAATACATCATTATCATCGTCGATATCACGTATAAAGCAGACAGCACCTGCGCTACTATGAAGCTCCCTAAAATCGAAAGGTTAAGTCGTATAGTTGGTTACATTGAAAATTGTGTAATTTTCTGCTTTTAATTTTAAGAGCAATTGGAACAAAAGGAGATATTTTAAAACTATTTTCCATTCCCCCTGAAAACTTATGATAAATTTTATAGGTAAACATTACTAGCTTGCTGTTTTTTTTCAATAATGACTTGGATAAAGTACTCATACGATCACTCTATTTCAAAACTTTTGATACATGAATTATGTATATACTTACAACTGACCGAGTCAAGATAAATCTCAAAATTATCAGCTGATACATTCCATGCCCTTAGTTGCAAAATCAAGCCTCTGTTAAGCTTCCTGACAGCATTTGAAACATCCACAAACACTATAAAAAGCTAAGAAGTTTTTTTTAATAATCTTGAATTAGATATTTAAAGATAAGAAATCGTAACATATAAGAAATAGGATCCGCCACGTTTTTTAACAATACCTGTGTGTGCAAAAGACAGGTTAATTGGTCATTTTATTAAATGGTTCGATTTTTCAGGTCATGAGAGAAATAGTTTTAAAAATACCTGATAAAAGCTTAACAGAACAATAAAATTAACTGCCACTGTCCGCATTGTACACAGTTGAATGCTTCGGTTCAGGCAACATAGTTTTGCTTCCTCAACTATCTGAAGTGTCCTACTCTTCAACATATATCTGATAAACAAACACAAAAAATAAGTATAAATTTGACCTATGAGATAAACTGTGTTTAGATGTACTAGTAAATGTCGTCCACAATCTTAATCCAGAATATGTTACAAAATCAGGCAGAAATTTCCATTTGCATGAAAATGGAAAGCAGATTATAAAACAGCGTAAACTGACCCAAACCAGGTTATACTCGAATAATTTGGCAAAGAATTAGAGTCATTCCTTATAATTTAATTTTAAAATCATTAAATAACTATGGGTGTATAAAATTTCGTTGCTTTTTATTTGTTCAAATTTGCCGCTCAATAATACAACCATAGTAACGGAAGTAACGGAAGTGACAGGAAGCGAGGGGAGGTAAAAACTGATACATAGGCCTATCAGCCTTGTTGTTTGTTTACATGTGGTAAGATCGAATTATTGTTTGAAGTTAAAGGTACATTTATTAAATCTGGAATTTTCCATGAATCCCGAGGACTGGAAATGAGATGATTGTATGGATTCAGATGATTCATCTGGTCATCGGGGGGGGGGGGGGGGGGGGGGGTCCCCATACCAAACCAGGTTATACAGAAATAATTTGAGTTCCTTTTTGGATATTAACCAGTCAGAGGCTAGAATACAAACAAAATGAAATTATTATAGAATGTGCCTAATAAAAGTTTTTTTTCCACCCCATTCTGAAGAAATGACAAAAAAAAAATGAAATACCCTAGTGGCACACTTTCTGCTTCTTGATGTTTATCCAAAAGCTCACGAACATGTGTGTACTGTGATGATTTGGCAACAACCTTTGATTTCTGTAATAAAACTTATTTTAAAAAGTAGGAATCAACGTGCACAAAACGAAAACATCAAACATTTAGGCTAGTGAGTGAAAGAAGTTAGTAAAATATCAAACATCATACTCTTGAAATTAATATGACAAAAAGATGTTTTCACGTTATTGAAATAAAAGAATTCATAATTCAATTTTTTAATTAAAACAACTTATGTACTTCAATTCTGCTTTGAAAACAAGATTCACGGGAAAAATAATACTTTAATTTTTTTTACAAATCACAGATCATATCAAATTTAAATGTTCTTACCCGCCTGGCTTTCCCAGTGGCACATTTGTAAATTTGATAAACTAGTCGAAATGCAAATACACACAAAAGATATCCCTCACAAATAAAGAACGGTATATATCCGCAAAGTTCCTAGAATGAAAAGAATATGTACACCAGTACTTACAGAGCTTTTTCTGTTATCAGAATGCCAAATGAAATTCTTATTCTTTTTATCTATACTGTCCGTCCGTAAACTTTTTTTTCTTCAAAACGCTATTCCTCCTACAGTTTTAGTCTGAGTTAAGTAAGACTTGGTACACAAGTACACTATACTAAGAAATATAAATCTGTAATTCAGGATTTTTTATTTCCACCAACGGTGTTGCCATGGTTAATAAAAAAGAAATTTCTGCAAAATTCTTTCAAAATGCTACTCCTCCTATAGTTTCAGTCTGATTTCAATAAGACTTGGACACAAGTAGACAACAAAGTAAACCAAAATACATGTATACCAAGTACACACCAGTAAAGCTACAGTCTGGTTTTTAAAGATTTAATAGTTGTGTTGGATTTTTAGAAATGTTCTTTGTTTCAATGAAATTTAAATAAATAATTAACTTTATATATTTGGTTAAGATACATGTTTTACAAGTATGTATAAACTTCTATAACTATTATCAACTGAAAATGTGTGAAATTAATCTAGGGACATTCTTACAGAAAGCAGAATCTATAAGATAATTGTAAACACAAGATTATTTTTTGAAAATATTATACATGTATACAAACAATAAAATGTTAAACCAAGTGTTTGTAAAAATATTTTACATATGTACATTCTTCTGTAGTATATATTTTTTCTTTTATAATTAATGATAATGTGATTGATAAGCCATATGGTTTAAGGAATAAATAAACAGAAATCACTGGATAGATACTTACAATGAGATCATTAACACAATAATTATACTCTGTTAAGGATATCAAAAACCTGTAACATAAAAATGACAATATCACTAGGTTTTGTACAATCATCTCTAAAACTGCAAAATGTTTCGATTTTTATTCTTTATTTGACTCTTTATCTATTTGTATAGCAAAGGAAATATATTTATTAAGATAACCACACGTTTATACATTGTATATTGTGCGAGTAGTCATTGACATGTAAGAGTGTGAGTTCTATGTTCCTTACAGGAATATTGTGTAGAGAAGTCCAATGATTGGGGGACCGAATTTGGACGGAGAATTCACACAGGAAAACAATGGATAATAGGATATTCCCATAAAAATCACATTCTTCAACAGGTAAAAGGCTGTTTAAAATAAATAAATACATACTTTTTTTTAATTTACGATTGTTTTTTTCTCACAACGTCAATAATGGATATATTTGGTGGTAAAATTATTAGAATCTGCATGCAGTGTTCATTCGAATGTGAATAGTGATTGTGGAATGAAGATATTAGAACTTAATTAAATATGTTTACTTTGATCATTTAACAACCTGATTTTTCGCTAATCAGACAGTAATTATGCAAATACTTACTTGCTAGCCACGGATCAACACTAGTAGAATCGTCTCTCAAGAATAGAATATAAAATAAGTAATTTATACAACATCCAAAACAGGCTGCTGTAGGCAACACATTTTTATTCCCGTCCAAAATATTGATTGGTCTGTCAAAAAAAAAAAAGAAATTAAAAGAAATATTTAATAATTAATTAATTTGACTGTTTAATAAAAATTCGCATCTTACACTGGAAGTCCGGGTCTTCCACAGAAAACATCCTTCTTGTAATTCCTTTTTTCCAAAAATATTAAAACTAATATTGTAAAAATCTGAAAATTTAAAAAAAAAAGATCTGTCAAGATAATAAAAGTCTGCATTACAGAAATAACTTACATCACACTCAAGTAATTATGCAACACAAATCCAATCAAAGATTTACCAAAAACATTAGTATGAAGAACTCTAAAGAGAAGGAACATTTTTCTTAATTTCTTAATATCTGACATTTTTCTCGAAAAGTGTTGCCTTAAATCGTCTGTGGTTCAATCCCCGAAAGACTCTAAGGCAAATGATATATTTTTACCCCTTATCCCCCAAAAAAGGGTGTAGAAAATATGTGTTGGGTTGAAAATCCTTACCCCTAATCCTACGAGGGCGTTATATCCATAGAGTAATTGCTCAACATAAGAACACGTTAAGTCTGTGGAAGAGTTTGTAGTATTGCTGACATCTGTTACCTCGAGAAAGACGGATTCTCTAAAGGTTAAAAAAATAAAATTCATAAAAATACGGTATATATAGTACATCAAATAAGTGTACATCTATATGGTATCAAAAGATCTTACTGATTCTTTTTCTGAGTCACAGGAATTTTACCTGTAAATGTGAATAAATTTCCGTGAAAAACTTCAAATGACAATAAAAAGTCGATGTTGCTAGCGTTCTACGTTTGCTCAAAGAAATAAATTCACTCACCAGAATACCATTGATAAAAGTAACGTACATTAATTAAAGAAAGAATATGCAGGAAAATATCCCTTTATAGACGCATTGTTGAAATAATATTGCTAGCAAAAATAAACATTATAATTCAAAATAAGGACAAGTGCTGTTTGTAGCACCTTTTTCATTACTTTGCCTTCTTCAAACTTAAATTTGAATTTGACTTATCATTTCTGTTCCCAGAATCAAGTTTTCTTTCTTTTGAATTTATCTTGGTACAGTTTGCAGAAAGAATAAGGAAGGAAGCTTCAAATGTCGGATTTCTATGTCTATTCAAGGAAAAAAACTTAATAAATCGGATGTATAGTTAATTTTATAAACCATGCTTTAGAAGATCAAATGTGAAATAAATCTATGCTCTAAGGGGTAGCTTGTGTCGGATACATAGTTTTTTTTTTATAAACCGTACTTTAGAATATTAAATTAAAATCTATGCCTAAATCTTTAAATTTAGTGAGATTGAGTCTTGATTAGCTATTTTACTCTTCATATGGTAATAACATTTCCCAGTCCCTCACTGAATCTATCTTCAAATCTGCCCAAACAAAATATTTTCTTTAATTGTAAGGCTCCTAATTTTAGTGTATTAAATATTCCAAACAATCAACATAAATAAAAAATTAGCATACCTACATGTATACTGTATTCCTAAACTTCATAAAAAACCTGACAAACAAAGACACATAGCGGGGTTCTAGTAAATGTTTTACCAAGCCTCTTGTCGCCCGCGTGGCGCAGTGGTTAGAGCGTCTGCTCTAGAGTCGCGGAGTAAGGAGTTGATCCATACGTCGCGGGTTCGAATCCCACTGTGGGACGTGGAGGCCGGTCCTTCAGATGAGACCGTATAAACCGAGGTCCTGTGTCGCAGTAGGTGCTGGCACGAAAAAGATCCCTCACTGCTCAATGGCCGTAAGTGCCGAGTGTAGGACAAAATTTGCAGCTCTCCGCCGGCAAGTGGTGGCGTCTTCATATGAGTGAAAAATTCTCGAGAGGGACGTTAAACGACATACAAACAAACAAACAAAACCAAGCCTCTTTCCGGTCCTTCGGATGAGACCGTATAAACCGAGGTCCCGTGTCGCAGTAGTTGCTGGCACCAAAAAGATCCCTCACTGCTCAATGGCCCTGAGTGCCGAGCATACATGTAGGTCAAAATTTGGAGCTCTCTGCCGCGAAGTGGTGGCGTCTCCATATGAGTGAAAAATTCTCGAGAGGGACGTTAAACAACAAACAAACAAACAAACCAAAACTCTTTCTTTACTCCTCACTAAATATTAACAGCAGTGAAGGAGAAACTTCAGGAGTACTGTGCAATGTTTAATACAATATATTCGAGAAATGGTGTAATTCGGATGACGATTCTTAAAAACTCCAAGGAAATTTTAGAAAATTTAAAATCACAAAATTTTATCAAAATCAATAACATCAAAATACGGCTTTACAACACTTTATACTACCATTCCCCACGACAAATTAAAGTCCAGGCTTTTTGACATCATAGACAGCTGCTTTTTTTCAATAAAAATGGAACTCGTAAATTTACTTACCTTGTCATTGGTCATTTGCAAAATTATTTTGTTAAAAAACATTTTGATTGTACACGTAAGTACTCTGAAGTAGATATTAAAAAGATCTTGAGTTTCTGATTAACAATATATATGAAGTTTTTGGAGACCAGGTCTTCCAACAATGTATTCATATAAAGCAGAATTTATTTTTAAAAACTGATACATAAGAAGAAGACACTTGCTGTGGCCTTCAACTCGACATTTACATGTAGATATATAGACGCCCTATTATCAATTAACAAAAGTTACTTCCATTCATATGTCAACTCGATATATCCCAGTGAAAGAAAAGATATTTGGATATTTTACTAGAAAAAGACGTTAATGATAACCTAACAACAAAACTTTATGATAAAAATGATGACTTCATTTTCCTTTTCTTAAGTAACAATATATCCTTATAGCATGCATATTGGGTTTATACCTCCCAGCTGATTCGATACGCAAGAGCATGCACCACGTACGAACAATTTCCAAATCGAGGCAATCTTGTGGCAAACAAGTTGATGAAACAAGGATATCAACAGTCTCGTTGAAAGTCATCATTTCGTAAGTTCTATGGTCGATACAATGACAATATTAGCAAGTACAATCTATCATTAAGTCGAATGCTAACTGACGTTTTTCATACTAATTGTTAAGCCATTATTTAAATAGTGAATTGTCTACGGATTTTCCCGATTATCCGATCATGAATGAGCACATGTTGGGTATGACCGGTCGACAGGGGATGATGTTCACTCCTCCTTGGCACCTGATCCCATCTCTGATGATTTTAGGGGTCCGTATTTTCTTTGCTCCCGATTTGTATTGTTTTAATGGACTTTTGGGCTTAATTACTGTTCGTTATCGCCAAATTTCATTCTTAACTTCCTTTTTTTCACTAAGGAAAAAATATGCACATTGTACTTCATTCGCAAGTCACAATACCAGGAAGTAGTGTTAACATTTCTAAAGATAAATACATTTTATGCTATAGGATCACAACTTTATTTGTTCCTTTTAGGCAGTCAACTTAAAAAATGAAAAAATAATAATAATATTTTGCATTTTAATGCAACATAAATAAATATGCGAAGGAAATGTAAAATGTGGCATGGTGAAGACATCAAATTCGAAACATTTGTACCAATTAAAATGTTATGGAACTTTTTTAGTTTTTGATTTGTAAATTTTCATCTTTTCAACTTTTGAAAAAAAGGCTAATTGTTTATGCATTTGGTGATATTTTTGGTTTCAATTGTGATATTTTTATGCCCCCGCCATGTAATTGCCGGGGCATAAAATGTTACCCCCTTTTCCTCCCGTCATTCTGTCATTCCGCCATTCCGGACTTTTTTTCTATTCCTTTAGAAGATGAGCTGATTTGAGGTATGTTACATGTATTTGATATTGATAATTACGGATCAAGTTTGAGTTTGTCAATTGATCATTTTTACAAAAGTTATCGGCCCTAAGGCTTTGAAAATTTCCAATATTTCACTGTTTTCTGGACTTTTGAATTTTCTTTTTACTATGCTTGTAGATAATGAATAATTTTTGTATGTCTCTTGATTTTGTTGACATATAGATCACTTTCCAATATCGCGTTGATTGACCCCTTTTAGGAAAGTTATGGTTCTTCGACTTTAAAATTTTAAATAATTCAGATTATATCACAGGTAAATTGTTATCACATTGTAAATTGTATAATAGGGAGAGTTGACTCTCATGGTTATTTACACATGTTATCCCTTCTTCAGGCATGTAATATTTTTCTTGTTTATCATATTGTATGTACACCTTTTACATATTTTCTCTTCACTATTTTTTAATTATGAAAATAAATTGGTACTGTAGCTGACGTGTGAATAGCTTGAGTTTAAACCCACCACCACCCCCTTTCCTTTTAATAAGGATTAAAAACTATCGAGTTGGCAATATTTTAATGCTTACTTATATAAAAAATTGACTGTACAGACCGATTTCTGAATTCGATTGACGGGTAAATTATATTTTTGGAGAATTTAGCAGTCTAAATTTATTTTCATATCAACACTCTATCCACACGTTAGGTGCTGTGAACATTTCTGTGTAACAGAAGTATTCTATGTTTAAGTTAAAAGGGTCTTTAATTGTAAATTATTGTAATGATATGGCTTATGTACCAGTGAAGTTTGAAATGAAACTTTATTTTCAGAAAATGTTCCGAATGTTCGGCGATGTTATACTTGTAGACAGTGAGCTGATAATTGATATGTTACTTGATATTGATGACTTTCAAGTCAAATATGAGTTTCGTGTTAATTGATCCATCTTTACAATAGTTAGGGTCCTTAAACTTTGAAAATTTCTAATAATTCGCCGTTTCCGGACTTTTTGTGCTATATTTGTAGATGATAAGTTGAAATTTGTTTTGGTATGTTACTTGATATTTTGACTTACAAATCAAGTTCGAGTTTCTCATAAATTAACACATTTTTACAATTGTCATGGCCCTTAAAATTTCTAGTAATTTACCTTTTTTGGAACTTTTTCATTATTTTGCTTATAAGCGATTACGATTTTAATCAGCTTAAGTATGTTGTCATACACAGGTAGAAAACTGACTCCAGAAAACAAAATAGCGGTTTGATATTTTATTTTTGGTGCCATTTTCATCCACTATTATTTTCACATTTTTGGACGTTAAAATATTTCAAGTTTGCCTGTAAACACGGGGGCATTCTTGTTACTCTGACATGTCTAATTACCTTCACATTTTCATACTGTATCATTATATAATTAGTAATAAAATACAACTACTATAAAAGATTCGGGCGCAGAACCGTTTCTAACAAAACAGTTTCAAAATTGGGGGGAGGGGGGCAGCTTCCCTAAGAAAATCTGACAAGCAAAAAGAAAATCAAACTGACCAAAAGGGGGAAGGGCAATTTCCCAAATTATCTGATAAGCAAATAAAAGCTAATTTACTGTCCAAACCTTGGAATTTGCCAGTGCTCAACCTTACAACATCAAAAAGGGGGGTAGCATCTAAAGGATATTTTCCTATATCAAATTCCATGTGAGTGAAAATTTTTCGAGAGGGACGTTAAACAACATACAAACTATAGTAAAACACTATACTCAGAAAAAAGGGGGGAGGGTTCCCTTACCCCCCGCCTTCTACGGGCCTGTCATACTTTGTAAATTCGAAGTAAAATCACTGCATTTTATCCATCTTATCACCATTTTCTTCCAGTCAGTAGGATCGTTACCATATTAAAAAATCAGTCCAGAAAACATTTTAATTTATTAAATCTATTTATGGCTTAGTTTTGTGACATATCAAAAGGAGAGTCAATAATAATGTTTTATTCCTGTATTATTTGTTTTTAAATTTAACAATCACTTTATATTCGGGGGGGGGGGGGGTAAGTTAAACTTTCCTTGATAATGAGGTTTTTTTACTCTGATCGGTGACAACCATCATAACATAAAATTCCTGTTGTTATCAAAAAATAACGCGCATTTAGTTTTAATAAAAGTTGCTAGGGCTTTGCTTTGAGAGAGACAATCCCGCAGTGTATTATGTAAATGTACACAAACCAAAATGTTTACAAACATCGTATAGAATCGAAAAATGACCACCCAAATTTTAAGAAATGATTGTCACCTATCTTTACATTTAATCCCTGAATTTTGGTATCCATAAAGGTTCTCAATCACCTTAAGCTACGTCCAAGTACTGAAATATATACTAGTATACTGTGCTGGTACAATCATTTACTTACGTAGGCATAACCCGCATGGTTTCCAGTCCTTGTCGTTTTATGAAAATACTGATAGCACAATACTCGTCAAGGTTTTATCTAGGTTTATGACCTGAGATTACAGTGAGGTATTATTTCTGTATCAATAAGATAATGAATTTCAACGCATTTGTAAACCGAAAAAAAAATGAACAAGATATAAGTTCCTATAAGATAAAGCATTCATCTTTTAGTAAAGCTGATGTTTATTACGAAACTATGCGGAAAACTCAAAGTCAAAGTCAAAGTTCATTCATGATAACACTAAGTACATGTGTATTCGCATTTGAAACCGTGAAATCATAGTTTAATTTTAAAGTGAAATCACTGCTTAAAACAAGAGACCAAAGATTGAAAATGGTTATCAAAGCGAAAGTACCTTTTGAAAAAAAAATTGATACACGAAAATGTCTGAGTTCGTGATAAGTGAAAGTCCATTTTAATATTTCTTCACTTAAGGCAGGCAGATATGTTAAGAGTTCATTGTATCGATAATGATCCTCTAATTAACTAATACTTAAAGCTGTATTTCGCTTCCATTTTCAATGGAGGTATAGCGTAGTGAAAGCAAGTCTTTTTTTCAACGAGCGGTTTACATATAGCACGTGTAGTATGCTATTCCTACACTGTTAGGAGACGGTGTAATTAATATATATATATATATATATATATATATATATATATATATATATATATATATATATATATATATATATATATATATATATATATATATATATATATATATATTAGGATGTCAACGAGTACCGGGTACTCGATCGAACGTCCGAGTATCGAATACTAAAAATTGTACTTGGTCACTCGGAAGTTAGTTTTTCTTATTTCAGTGTACATATTTTATTTAAAAAAAATATCAAAAAAATAACTTAATACTGCATACGGTTATTAGCGTGTCATCTTCTAAACCTGTAAAAAGAAAAAAAACGTTATCGCCTGGGGCTGTTATATACACCTGGTACACAGTTGTTCTCACCTATTGTGGTTCTTAATTTTTGGATGGCTTCAATGATTGCTTTCAGTGAACATCAATTCGATTAAGTATGGTCTATTATCTTCAAATCCTTTTTAAATTATTTAGTTCATATATGGCAGCGAAATCGGACATGCATAGAAATGACAGTACCAACTTCAAAATTGAAGAAATATTTAGAAATAACTAAAGATTCAAAAAAAATATTGGAAAGCAGTTTGCGTAGTAAGTTTTTTATGGGGGAAACAACCAACTTAGACTAGCGATCCCAACAACGTCCTTTCCTTCCCTTTCGCTAGTCCAATCATCACAAACCTGCGTAACGGATTGTCCTCCTTTTGCATTGATGAAATAGATCCTAAACAAGAATTGTAAACCATTTATAATTTTGATGTATTAATAATGTCTTTTGTGTTTATTTGATAAATAAATTTAGTACTAAAAAATCAATTCCATTGGTCTCGATGTTTCTATACATTTATAAACGTGATAAAAACAGCTCTGGGGTTTAACAGAGCTTAACGTGGCTCAAGAAAATTAACACACTTGTATGTACATTTTTACATGTACCGAGTAACCGGGTACTCGATCGAAAAAAAACACCCGAGTAACATATATATATATATATATATATATATATATATATATATATATATATATATATATATATATATATATATATATATATATTAAGGTCAAGATCTAGTAAATGAAGAGTGCCTACAGATTTCTCAAATTTGAGAAACAAATTCCTTTTAAAATCTATTACAATTATAGCTAAATAAATTAAGGTGTATCGGGACATGATTTTTAGATAAACTCAATGAAAAATCATATTTAAAAATGCCTTTTTAAATGAAAAATGAAGAGAAGCAGGTTTAAAAATGGGAGTTTTCTCCATCTCAAACAAAGGAAATGTATCAATATTGCCTACAGTCTCTCAGAAAACGGCTTTTCATATCTTCTTGACCTCTTTTTTAAAATGATATTAAATTGAATATAGGTATCGGAGTTCCTTTTGATATGATTTTAAATTGAATTCCATGAAAATGCGTCATTTTCTACATAATTCTGTTATGGCCATAAAGAACGGGGAAAAGTATTAGTTTAAATCAATTATGACGTCATAATTGATCTAGCACCAAAAAGACAGTCTAAACTCATTTACTAGATCTTGACCTTAAGAAATAAGGTATCATTTTTAAACATCTATCGGGATATAAATACGGGTTGGTCACGAGATCAAATTTGATCTCGTACCAACCCGTATTTATAGCCCGATATATGTTTTAAAATGATACCTTATTACTTATATTTACATTTGTGACTTATTCATATTTTATATTTGCCTGAATATAATCCTTAACTCGTGAAACGTTTTATTTTTCAAACCCAACGGCACGTGTTTGATCCATTGATTGCGCGTCGACCCTTTATGACGTCACTGAGAAATTACGTCGAACTTTTATGACGCGAGGAACTCGTGTTTATACGGATATAGATACGCGTTGCTTTTAATAGTGTTATATAAAAGAAAACATTTGCAAATGAATATATATATATATATATATATATATATATATATATATATATATATATATATATATATATATATATATATATATATATATATATATATATATTCAACATTAACAAAACCAGAACACCAATTTCACTCTTATATTCACTTCTTAGAAAATTCCTGATGAGTAAATGAAACTAGCATTCCCTTAAAGTACAGTGAATTACTATTTTGTAGGGATGTCTCTACTCTAAAACATTTCCTTTCTGATATGACCTGTCTTTATTTTTTCTTTATGTCACAAAATGTTTTATTTTGTAAGGATGATACTTCTTCCTTTTAAACAAAGAATGGATTGAATGATATTAATTTCATCTGATCAAACACAAAATCATTAAAAATCAGGTTTTCCCACTAAAGATTGTTACTTTAACTCTCTGTGCAAAATACATGATTTATAACAATTATTGACACTTTTAACAAAGAGTATGTTTTTGAAGAGTACTAAAACTGAATACTTTTGTAAAAGTTGACCCGCTTTCAGTTTGTAAAGTATAAACAACATGGAGACCTCTTAAAATCGTCATCAAATTTTCCGGTAAAATCAAATAAACTTCCTTCTTCCCGAATCTTTATTCAAATGTTCAGTTCGAACATATACTGATGAATGTATAAATTACGGAATACATAATTGTGAACCATCATGGAAGTGGATTTTGGTAAATCGATGTACGAGAGAAAACCTAGAATTGTGCTGAATGATGGTAGTGATGATAAGCAAATTCAAATACCAGCTGGAAGAGACGAAGAGACATCAGTGACCGGTATTGCACGCAGAGGATCTCCCCGAGCTTCCTTTAATTTTGGAAACATTTCAGTCAAAGACCTTAAGCAGAGTTTGAAAGAACAGCTTTTTGAGAAAGACAACAAGATAAGCGAAGAATCAAAAGCTTCCAGTGACGTAAACGAAAAGACAATTATTCCACAGCACCTTGGAATTGTACCTGATACCCAAATTTCTGTGTCTGGATCTTTGAGTTCTTCACTCTATTCCAAAGAGAAAAGTAACTCACAGAATAAAAACGAACCTGAGAAATCTAAAGCAAACAAAGAAAAGGTAAACTTAAATAAAAGTGTTACAATTAAGAAGCCTTTATTGGATGACCTGAGTGATGTGTCCGTCAGAGATAGATCCACTCCATTGGTAAAACTGATCGTACAGGAGGCAAGAAAGGCGGACAGACCTAAAAGTGATAAGGGTGAAGAAGAAGAGATTATATTTGAACATGACCACTGTTTAAAATGCTTTGATAAGAACTGCAATCAAATGAAGGATTGTCCGGTAGTGAGATGTAAAAACAAATGTGGCGAGGCAATCTTTCATAAATGCAAACAGAGAGAACATAATGAAATGTGTAAGTATACAATAATTCCGTGTATCAATAAAACTATCGGATGTCAGATGGAAATGCCGAGATGTAAACTTTCGTATCATCTTAAACACTGCTCTAAAATGAAGGAGGATAGGATAGAGAGATTAGGTGCACCTGATTCTTCCACGAATAGGCTCTCTGGGGAGTATCGCCATCGTCTTTCTTCCAAGAGAGGTGAAAGACATACAGAAATAGTACATGAACACTGTCTGCAATGTCACAACATGAATTGTTCCGAGTACCATGAATGTAAGATTAAAAAATGTCCCAGCAAAGGCTGCTCCGTGAAACTTCATGCATGTAAAGTCAAGGATCACAAAAGAATTTGCCTGTTTAGAGAGATTCCGTGCATAAATAAAGAATACGGATGTCAATACAAACTGTCTAGAATACTTCTTACAGAACATTTACGTGAATGTCCAGTTATGAATTTTGAAGAGTTGACATTACCTCCGTATAACCTTTACCAAAACATCATAGAGCAAAGTCATCATTGTGACAACTGCTATAAGCTGAACTGTAAAGCTCAGGTTGACATAAAATGCGCCCTCAGGGAATGTTATTGTGGAATTTTTCTTCACAATTGTAAATGGAGAGACCACTATGAAAACATATGCCCTACATTTGTCATGCGTTGCATAAATTTTGAAGCAGGGTGTGAGATGTTTCTCACCCGTTGCATGCTAACAACACATCTTTTTCACTGTCCTGCCATGAATTGGCAAGGACACAAACAACCACTAAACGAGGAAGGAGATGACCAAAATGGCTATGCTACAATTGGCGAAACCACGAAATTTGCAGATAAAAATAATTCTAATGAGGAGCATGTGTATGAAAAACTCCCAAAACGCAAGAAAAGGAGCAAAAAGAATTGCAAAGTGATGTAGAGAAAAAGCTGTTGTAAATTCTGAAAGAAGAGTAAAATTATAATCAAATGTAAAGCTAGATTTAAACTTTGTCATGAAATATATTTGTAATCAACTTCTCATTTATATTTAATCAACTCCTTTAAAAACATATATTCAAAATATTTTTTTATTATGATGTTATTGTTTATGCATGTGATTTGCAAATGTGTAAACATGTATATGTAAATTTTTTTTTATTTTTTAGGAAAAGAGAGTTAACAATATGACTATTAGCAAAAATACATGTTCTGTTGTTAAAATCGTAGTGTTTCGATTAAGGAAATTGTATCATTATTGTTTTACACATCTATCAGCTTCTTCAAAAATGTAAGAATTGTGTATTATATACATAGAATAAAATAGCTATCTACATGTAATGCTATTAAGCGCTTTATGATTATCAGAACAGCTGATTGCTCTTGATGGTTGATGGAAATATGCAGCAGAGTATCACATACACAATTTATATCATAAGAAAATTTCTAACCTTTAGTGTGTATACTTTCACAAAAATACTTTAAGGGATTTGTCTTATTTTCGTACTTATTGGGTGATGAAAAATGAGAAATTGATTCCAACCCAGACAGGTGGCACGTGATTGTGTTAATCAACTGCCAACGACACTTTCTTTTTCTGGAAGCTTATGAAAACCAAAGTTTCTCAAAGTGCATTTTAAAAAAAATTCTTTGTCCTTCCGGGGACTTAGAAACACTCATTTTTTTTTATCTGTAGCGTACCAAGATTTTTAAAGGTTCATTTTTGAATCAAATTTGAACTTGGGGAACTTGTTCTTTAAAGAACAAAGCATATAAATAATAACAGTAAGAATTGGTGTACAGATTAGCCAGTCCCTCCTCGTATGCCACAGGGTGTTCGTGTCCATTTTATTCCCACAAAAGCCAAGAAAAAGCCTTCAGTACATACATTGTCTGGATAGAATTTCCTCCAAACAAATGCATTGCTTTTTAAAAGTTAATAAGCTAGGCTCCTTTTCCAAATCACACATTTACACATAAAATTTTTTTAAAACCCCTGTTTAATTTTTGCTAAATATTATTCAAAAAGAGTTCAAATTTGTCTCAATAATATCCTTGAAAAGAAATATTCACAACAAATGTAAAAATACATGTATGCTGCAATTGTTGGCATTTTATCAAGTTTGCGCGTATTTTATATCTGAAGATCAGAAACATTAAGAATTCGTGTTTTCTATTTGTGACGTAGTGAAATACACTTTATTACCAATGTTAATATCAGTGATGTTTATACAGTTCCAAATTTTTAAAAATATAAATGCGCATTATTGTGTCACTGTGCTTTTGATATTCCCCTCAGATTTATCCAAATTATCTACATGTATACCGTGGTAGAAAAATAAAAAAAATGTTAATGTTTGCCAAAATATCTTCTTTTTGATTGAGATATTTAAAGCCAAAATAGCATTATCCTTTCTTTTCATATTCTGGCCTTGAGCTCATTGAACGTTAAAATTGTTTGTTCCTTGTCAATCTATTAAAGACTAAGCGTCAGTACAAAAACTCTGACAATATTAGTTAATCAATTATACTTATTAAAATAACAATCTGTTTTACAATGCTCAATTGTAATTAAATTTCGTTACATGAGTTTCTTCAAATACGGAGATTTTCTTTGTTTGATAAAAATCTGAACAGCTTCTTACGTTTTTCATCATGCTAAGGACATCCCATCAAAAACAAAGATTTATTAAAGCATTTCTTTTTATGTATATCCCATTATCAGTCTTTTTGAAAGTTTCTTTGGGATGTAAGAGATCTTGAAATTGTGGAGAGTACTTGATTCTCTCAACTTGTATCATTCGACTTTCCAACAAACATTCACTGAATACAATAGAACATGTAATTATAAATATACACTCGTATCAAAATTTAACCGTTGGTTTTAAAATTTCCAAAAAAGACAAAAATGGTATTCAAGATTCAAACTATGTGCTCGTTATTACCCGTCTGTCTTCAGTGAACAAATTAGGGATGGGGGTATCAATAAATTATGTTCATGTAAGCATGTGAGATATGGAATTATGTGCCTATAGATTTATCTTTGCAACATTATTGAGAATATGAAATCAAAACCCAAGACCACCGCACGACGAAGGTAAAAGATCTCGAAACAAGAGAAAGAGATACAAAATATCAAGCTCAATAAGAGTTAAATTGAGTTGTACTAAAATACTTTGGTCCATTTTTTCTCAAGATGTCATTTCTGTTAATTTCGGAGTTATCTTGATGTCAGATCCTAAATGTTTGATCATTGTAAAAGTCAGTTTCAAAGTTTTTGTCAAATATATCAAATGTCATTAAACCTTCACTATTTTTAATGTAACGATAAGATTAAATCTCTTCTAGAGTCAGTCATTTTTTTTTCAATTTTAGTGCAGTGTCTTGGGAACGTTGCAAGAACTTTTGTGACCTTATTTTCTGTCATTTAAATCCTCGATCTATACAGTTGTTAGACGTTTGCAACAATCATTCAACGAGAATAAGTATCATTAAAAATTAATGTTAGAAATAACATTACCTTAGTTTAGATATGGATACAGTGCAATTTCTTACGATTTTGGTCATTGTAATATTACGTGTGTTTTATTCAGGTAAAACTTTCCCTTCATTTAAGATAAACTTATTGTCTTCTTTAAGATATATGTATGTATTTAGTTTCCTTTGTCTATTTTATCCTTATACTTCAACGATAAATTAAGAATCATTTTCGTCAGATTTGTGTTAACTTTTATTCGATCATTTTTCTTTCAATTTAACTATCAATTTTAAGTATTTTAAATAATTCGAGCAACTATTTTATGAGAGATCTATTTTTAATAGCATTAGGAGCTAAATAGTTTGAGGTCTCAACTCTTACCATTTTTTTTCTTTAATTCGTTGTATATATTTCGTCTTTAAATATAAAACAAATAAAGAATACAAAGGTAACACTGTTTTTTTTTTATTATTATTATTTATTATTGAATGTTCCTATAGATTCCGCTTTAACAGACAACACTCTGCAGGCTTGCTATGGTAATGGTTTTGAGGACTTTTTAACACCTTCGTGTTCTTCCGGCGAAAAAATATATATTTATGACGTGTTTGTGTACGCCAAGCACAGGTCACTCAACTGTCCCACTATAGCCACATCTCTAGACAGAAATATCACATACTGCTGCAATTATGTCAGCCAGAAAGAGGACTGTGGACAAAGATATTTTGGAACCGCAAGCGATTTTGAACATGCACATTATTCGCGATGTACGGGGTTGGCAACGTGTGGCGGAATACAAGTAGCATGGAACTACACAGAACATTTCTGCAATACAACTATTTTTGCCGAAAGGACGAATTACATGAAAATGTGGTATAATTGCATACCAGGTAAGAATTTTTTCCTTGTTAATTAACTTGTAAAATATTTATCAGATTCTACATAAAATGTAAAACAATATGCTAGATAACAAAATATATTAATTTCTCTCGAAAATTGATTTTACTTAATTTAAAAAAGAACAGAATTGCATCAATATAATATGTTCATCCATAAGAGATGTTTAATGTTAAAGATAGAACGAGTTTTAGTTTATCCTTGTTATTGATAACGATATAAGGATGTGACAAATCAAATATATCATTCTTGTTATCTTAAGATGAAAATATTTGATATCATGATACGAAATATACTCAATTCTATTTTACAACGTCCAACTTTTTTCAAACTTGAATTTGAAGGAAACGTGAAATACTCTTAAAATGTATACATCACAATTCTAATTGCCATTAAGTCTCAGCAATGCTTTGTAATATATTGTGAGAAAGAACAACGCATTAAAAATTGTTTTTATTATCTTTCATTCGTAATTATCAACTCGGTATAGTATTTTTTTCATTTTTTTTCTTTTATGCATTCTAATATGTTTTCATGTATTCTATGGCATGTCAAACGTTGCAATATTCGATCTTTTCCATTTGTATTGTATAACTTTCCATTTGTATTGTATAATTTTTATTTGTATTGTATAATTTTTCATTTGTATTGTATAATTTTCAATTTGTATTGTATAATTTTTATTTATATTCTATAATTTTCCATTTGGATTTTATAATTTTCCATTTGGATTGTATAATGTTTATTTGTATTCTATATTTTCCATTTGTGTTGTAAAAAAAATCATTTGTATTGTATAATTTTTCATTTGTATTCTATATTTTCCATTTGCATTGTATAATTTCTTATTTGTATTGTATAATTTCTTATTTGTATGCGATAATTTTTCATTTGTATTGTATCCGAGGATTGTTTATTTATTTCGTTACGAAGGATGTCATTGGTCATAAAATTTAGTCTGTATAAAGGTCTCAGGTGCCCATCACAAACTTAGTCTGGTACCCTTCCCACAATTCCGATCGCGCACTCTCTACAAACACAAACTCGGCTCCTCTATTTGCGGTGCATGCTAAGGGACGACCATTTGATTCTCGGGGGTGTCGAATCCGATTATTTATTTTCATTCTCTCGCAGGAGAGAATATTTATTTCCAATATGACCAGAGACAAGGAGAAAAACAAAAAGAAGAAAATCCGCCCAAACCCGAAAACTCAGTTTTTTGGGGGTGGGGGTAGTTACCACCACTCAAGGTCAATTTATTTATTTTCTCAGTCAGCATTCCTAAGGACAGATTATTTATTTGCCATCTACCAGCGCTCCCTTTTTAGAATCCAATGACCGTCTAACATGCTCGCAAATACATATGCCGCCGAAATATGGCTGAAATATTGCCGACTCGGCGTTAAACAATAATCAATCAAGCAAGCAAGCAAATACATATGAGCCCAGTTTGCTTTGAGCATCCGGAACATCTTCAACCCGATACAGGCTGAAACTTGACCAATGAAATCTTTCGTAACGAAACAAATAAACAGTCCGCGGATACAATACAAATGAAAAATTATCGCATACAAATAAGAAATTTTACAATACAAATAAGAAATTATACAATGCAAATGGAAAATTATACAATACAAATAAAAATTATACAATACAAATGAAAATTATAGAATACAAATAGAAAATTATAGAATACAAATAAAAATTATACAATACAAATGAAAAATTATACAATACAAATAGAAAATTATACAATACAAATAAAAATTATACAATGCAAATGGAAAATTATACAATGCAAATGCAAAAGATCGAATATTGCAACGTTTGACATGCCATAGTATTCAGGTACATTGTATACTAGCAATTTTCATGGGACACTTATAAAATAAAACTTGAAAGATGTCTAAAAAATAATTAGTAACTTACCTTTAAAGTGAGATTTATTTTTACTTCAAGAAGATATTTCTCAAAAAATCAAAAGATTTGCCCTTCATGTGGAAAAAAAATCTTTGTCATACAGAGATATCTCTTTAAGCAAGTCAACAGAATAAAACACACAAGCGACCAGGAGATACTTTCAAATTAAACCTCGATTTTTTTAAATAAACAAAAACAACCCCAAAAATGATAGGAGTTGAAGATGTTTTGTCCATAAAAGAATCTTATTCCTATTTTTAAAAAAAAGTGAGGGAGGGGCTTATTTTGTACAGGTGTGAATGCCTTGAGGGCTTACAGTCTACCTGTGGTCGTTTGTCTCCTAATCCCTATTCACAGGAAGTGAATAAATGCATAGTAAAAGACCCAAGAAGTCAAACTTTACTTGTGCTGGGATTTTGAGTAGTGTTGTCAAATCGGACGATTTTTAGTAACCGGTTACTCGCTTACTTGTTTGATCGAGTACCCGGTTACTCGGATGGTTTTTTCTTCAGACCTCTAAACACTCTTGTTCGTATTATATATTCAATAATAACTATAATATGTGTAACGTCATTACAGTTTCCATATTCATCTTTCATAAGACACAAACCATTAAATGCACTTTATCTATTTATAATTACAAAAAGCTTCTAAATAAATTCATTTTCGAATATCCCCTAACAGTTGGCTGCTTTTGCAGGGTGTCCTTTATATATCGCTGGTTTCAGAATGTGTATGTCAAATTCATTTCACATATTTAATTTTACACCTAACGGATTTAAATCTAAAACAAAAGAAATATTTCGGAATATATGCTTTTGATGGTTGTGTCGGCATCTTGTTTAATCCTTTACTGCGGACTAGCACAGTTTAATAAAGTGTAAAATAAGGTGTTTAAATCTCTGCCTTTAACCTCCTTACCCCCACTGAATCATTGTAAACCTTTCGGAAAAAGAGATACATGTATCTCTTAGACCTAATGAGATATCTCTTTCTGTTTGGGAGATGTCTCTTTAGGAAACGAGATTTCTCATTTAATCAGAGATCAGAAATCCTAAAACGTCTTCAATAAATATTCAGTAAACCTGTCTAAATAGTAATCGACGAATCTTTCAATACCGTTCTCTTTCACTTATAACAGAAGAAGTACCTGACGAATCACTGATAAATGAGTTGTGTAAGTCTGAACACAAAATATTGTAAAAATCCCTCAGCCTTTCTTTGATGACCTCTAAACACTACTATATATATCCAGAATATTAATGGAAAAAGTGTCAACATACTTGAAATAATATTAATTATAATTCATTATTATAGATTCCTCTTCACTTTCTATTAACTCGGTGTCTACGCTAACAGCGGATGCAGTGTTCCTCTTCAGCGAAAATTATCCATCGATGATGTCCGAGTGTTCGACTACATCCGGCGCCACATGTAGAGTACAGATATCCGATGGGTCTCCAGTGCAAATAACCGCTCTTGACATCCAACTTAGTGAAACGTCTGGAATCTGTCAACAAAGAATTTACATTACTGATGGATCCACGAATAGTGAAATTACTTGTGAGAATAATAATGACTTTGTTAAGAAAGTTGTCTTTACAAGTTCAAGTAGCGCAATTGAAATCAGATTAGATAACACAGATACTACAACTGCTGGGAAATTCTGGATTCAAATTGAAGGTTAGTTTTTTTTAAAGCTCTATTCACTGGACAAAATTGCTAACGCACCACTCAATATTCTTATATGTAAACAAACATTTTCTAAATCTGAAGGAGTAAATGTAATATGCAAGATGAAATGGCCATCTTGCTAATTTTTCAAAGGCAGCTGCACACTGTTCTTATAGGTAGTTACCGATGGTAGTCGGGGATGTTGCAACAGCGACTGTATTCCAGTTTTCTCAAATTATAAAGAGTGATACATGTATGTCTATCATATCGCCTAGAAGTCACCCTGTGCTTTGGTTAGCTGCAATAATGTAGCCATCTCCCTTTTTGTTGTTGTTGTTGTTGGAAGGGGGGGGGGGCTACAACTCCTTAGGATCTCCGTAATGGTGCAAGTGATTTCGGCTTAAATTATCAGTAAATGGCTATTCTATGAACATTTCTTACCTGAACTCCAAAAATGTAGTTATGCAAGACATAAACCGATCCACAAATATATAGAACAATCCATATATATGCTATTTTTCGTGAATGTCAACTTCACAAAATGAATTTATCCACCATGTTTACTGACCTTGATGGATTTTATTTTGGGACAGCCAATGAGAAATGGGATATATGAAGTGGATCTATTTAGGAATTCCTTTATTTTAAGCATAAATATCGCTGTTTACGAAAAAAAAAAATATCACATGGAACGGCTTTATTTATCGATATTTAGTGATGCCATACAATACAATCATTTACAACCACCGATATTTGCTTTATCAAGTTATTCTTTTCAAGCGCAAGTCTCAGTACATCACGCGAGAAAAGTCGACTCGATATATCCCAGTGAGATTGAAATAAAAGATACTACAAAGTCTGACACATCTGTTTCATATTTAGATATTTTACTAGAAAAGGACGTCAATTGTAACATAACAACAAAGCTTTATGATAAACGTGAATACTTCAACTTTTTAATCGTGAATTGCAACCTCCCTTACTTATGTAGCAATATACCCTTATCACCTGCATATGGGGTTTATGTCTCTCAGTTGATTCGATACGTAAGAGCATGCTCTATGTATAAACAATTTCTAAAACGAGGCAAGCTATTGACTAACAAGTTGATGAAACAAGGTTATCAACAGTCTCGTTTGAAGTCATCTTTTCGCAAGTTTTACGGAAGAGACAATGACCTTGTCAGTACATACAACCTATCATTGAGTCAAATGGTGACTGACGTTTTTCATACTTATTGTTAGGCCATTATTTTTTACACTGAACTGTCTGCGGATTTTTCCGTTTTTTCCCGATCATGACAAGTAGCACACACGGCGGGTGTGACCGGTCTGCAGGGAATGCTCACTCCTCCATGGCACCTGAGTCTACCTCTAAATTTTGAGGTCCGTGTTTGCTCTGCTTCAAATTTGTTTCGTTTCATTGGACATTCGAGATTGAATACTGTTCGATATCTTCATATTTCATTTCATATTCACTAAACTAGTCACATCATTTTCACTAAAAGAAACAAAATTCTTAAGCCCGTTTTGATATTTTCTTTTACAAAATTATCCAAAGGAACACCCTGAAGAAACCATAATGACTCCCCTACAACAATTTTATGATATGTACTCGTACAACATCGCACTTGAGGTGTTTTATGAATGCTAACATGAGTTTTTTAATGAATGCTTACATAGAGAACACAAACCATAAATATGAATAAAAATGAATTCCTCCCAAAAGTGTGAGTACGATTTCTCGGCATTTCTAATAATGGGTATACTTCATTTAACATAGTATTCATCAATCAGCTTGGGCATTAAATGCCTTTCTTTTAATTATGGTAACATACTAGTAATTATACATCAAATTTTTGATAAACACGTTTGAAAAGATAATTTTTAATTGTGGTGAACTGTCACTTTTGTGTAGTGTACTTTTTTAAAAAGAAAGTGAGCAGTATTTCTGGCTTAAGTTTATTTACTACTTGATTCTGTATTTACAGCCACTCAAAGTTCAGGACGTGTCGATATCGAATGTAAAAACGCCACCGCTTTGTTTGGTTGCGGATCTTCCATAGCACTGTCTAATAGCACTTCTACCGCAGATTCTTTATCAACTAACACAACAGACAGCACAAGAACCGCCTACTCAGTTCAGATTAACTCTACAAATTCTGAAAACTTCAGTTCTTCTACTAATTTTGTTTCTACGTCTAGTGTTGAAGAGACATCCATAACAACAGCGTCATCAGCTGTGGCAGAGACATCAACGACTCCTAATTCGAACACTTTCTCAACAAAGCAGGACTCAACGTCAACGGACAGTTCCCTTGATATAAGTATTAAAATGATAATTATGAATATGTTTCTATATTTTGCTGTTGTAATTACCGGTAAATATTTGTAAAAACAGAACGATATATAAAGAATCATAAGTTTACTTTTCAATTTTAGGCTGGGTGCTTACTATTTTCCCGGGAGCTATAGGCAGTGGTGTATTATTTGGATCCATAGCGTACGCTTTGAATAGGTGCAAGAAAAGGGTAAGTTAAAGACTTGTCTTTACGACATCTTTCATTTCTATATGCCTAATAAAGCAGGTATAAAAATATATCTTTCGAAAATACCTATCTAATTTGAGTTGATATTCCGGGTACTCAAATACTGGAGGTTTGGCCTTTATTTTCAGTTTACTCAAATGAAGGTTACGCCCAGGAGATGAATGGGTTTCAAAGAATGGTTCTATAACAAAGATGGAGAAGGCCAGGGTTTTTAAGTTTTTTAGCAGTGCACGAATCTGTGATAAAATTGTACATGCACTTGTTTTTCGGTCATTCTTATTATTGTTTGCTATGTTTATTATTCATGGTTATAGTTAAGCAACCAAAGAAAGCAGTGTAAGAGATGTGATTACTTCATACTTGTTCATTCTTATAAAATTTTCTTTGTTATTATTTAAACTAACAATTAAAACATTCCAAGAATTCAAAGTCTCTTGTCTTGAAATTGTATAACCGAGCTAACATGCCTTTGCTTTCGGTGAATTTCCATACTTAGATCTCAAGCACAGTATAATTAACCTGTGTGGTCCATAGTAACTTCGACAATTTTGAAGATAAATCTCGAGTTCACCCCAAGAACAGTAGCCGGAAAGCTTATTGTTTTAATTCAGTTTTATTTTGGGTCAATTAAAGTTAAATGTCATTGATCAAAATTCAGAAGTGAATTATCAATAAGGAGTCACCTAAGTCATGTTTTTGGAGTGGATTAAAATCTCTTGGCTTGCAAACATAAATGTAGTGTAGATTCAAGTTTGTATAAAGCATACCCCACCCCCATCCCGGTTCAAAAAGGGAATTATAGTATAGGAAAATCGTTTACGAATTTTTTTCTAAAAACTAGCACAAAGCTACAACTTTTATAACTTGCATGACTGTATCTCCACTGGCGTACAGTGTACATGCGTCCAAAAAAGTGTCAAACACTAAACATTAAAACTGCATTTCAGATACATCCTCAGGTAATAAAAAGTTTGTTCAAGTCTTAATTCCCACAACAGGGACCGCCAAACATTTTATGAAAATAACTTAATCTTGTCAAAATGAAAAAAGATGAAGATAATGAATAGTGGTCGATCTCAAAAATCTACAAACAATACAAAGCTGTGAACAGAGCATAAACATAGAACCCCGGAAATTCCAGAGATGGGATCAGGTGCCAAGGAGGAGTAAGCATCCTCTGTTGACCCACCCGCCGTAAGTCCTATGTATTGATCAGGTAGAGGGAACATTCCGTAAACAAATACAAATTCAGTATAAAAAGGGCTTAAAATTGGTATGAAACACGTCAGCCATAATACGACCCAGTAATAAGTTATATTTGTTAACAAGGTCATTAAAACCATCATAGAATTTAAGAAATCCTGACTTTAAACGAGGTTGTTAAAATCCCTGTAACATCAACTTATCTAACAGTAGCCTGTCTCGGTTGACTAAATATGAGCATGCTTATTTTTATACAATTCAAGATTGTTTAACTTTCATATGTGACCCTGGGGCTATAAAAGAGATCCAAAACTTTGCACTTGTCCTCATGTAGTGTAAAAATCAAATCTGTCTAAATCATAGACCAAGTAGAGAGGTATGAGAGGTTTGAGTTAGTTTCTTACCTTGTCAGCAGATACAATTTATCATTGAGTCAAATGCTGACTGACGTTTTTCATACTCATTGTTAGGCCATTATTTACACACTGAATTGTCGACGGATTTTTCCGTTATTTCCCGATCATGACAAAGAGCACACGGCGGGTGTGACCGGTCGGCAGGGGATGCTCACTCCTCCATGGCACGTGATCCCACCTCTGATGTTTGGAGGTCCGTGTTTGATCTGCTCCTATTTTGTATTGTTTGATGGACTTTTGAGCTTGAATACTGTTCGTTATCTCCATATATTTCATTACAAAGAGGTAGATATTTTTAAAAAGCTCAGAAATTAAAACTACATAAATATGCTCATTAGACGACCTTTAAGTACCTGGGCCTGCCTCAGACGACCGTTCAAAACCATGGACCTGCCTCAGACGACCGTTCAGAACCATGGACCTGCCTCAGAAAGCCGTTCAGCATCATGGGCCTGCCTCAGACAACCGTTCAGAACCATGGACCTCCCTCTTGTTTGGGAAACAATTTAAGCAGAATACATGTAATCTAAGATCCTGTAATGTAAGACATGTCACTTACACGTCTTCATTCTTTAGAAACGATACATTTTTGTTTAATATACAATCTCTTAACTTACGGAAAATGAGCTTCAGTTTAATGCTCTCCTTGCTGAAGATCAAATACTTTATGAAAAATGTCTGGATTCAATAAATTACTGATATGAATAAGATTATGGGTGAATGGAGAATTGTAGAAGCCTTAGAATCAGCTAGTAACCAGTAAAAGGCCTAAGCTGTTCAACCACTGGTCTGAACATAGTAGTCTCTAAGGAGAACAAAGGGATTACAAAATAGTTAGTTTCTTGATATACTGCTCAATAAACTCAATTTTTGTAGACAATTTTTTCGCTTTTATTTAGCTGCATTAGATTAAAAAACAACTTTATTGAAGATATTGCCAAAATTGGTGCGTCAGTTATGTCTAAGGTTAATGTATATTTCCCCAAATAAGCAGACGATTGGCTTGAAAATGTGGCTTTCAGATCTTTCTATTTATGTTCTTTCCATTGAAAGTATTAAAGCGACTAATTACAAGGCCATTTATTAATGTTTCAATCATAATTAATTTATTAATATTTTATGATCAGATTTAACTGGTATTGTTTCCTTTATGCTTCAAGAATACGAAGAAGTTGGGTAATTTTTCTGATGTGAATTCGTAGCCTGAATTATAACAATTTTGTGCAATACAAAATTAAAAAAAAACGTTGCTATTGTTAGTTGTCTTTCTGCAGTAGGAAAAACCTGACAAGAAGATTGTCAGTCATTTGTACTCTTTAAACATAATTATCTTTTTAAAACCAATTCAGTTGTCACTTAACACAATGACCATAAAGCATAATATATCGACCTTTGTGTGAGAAATTATTTTCATGGTATGTCAAAATTCTATACACAGACAGAAAAGGCTTTATTGGCGCTCAATTATTAATTTTGAGATACTAGAACTTTAAGACAGTTTGCTGATAGTGATAACTGTCTTTAAAAAAGAGGGTTTTCCATTAAAAATGATTCTATTTCCAAAACATTTTAATTGAGTAACTTTCTTTACCAAGTAGATTAGACTCTTGGCACTTATTTTTATAATTCACCGTGTATTTCCAGCATTTATTTTAAGTTAAACCAAGTTATATTTTCCTTAAGAACGGATTTATTTCCTGATCTCTCACCGGTCAACTCCACGCGCAATCTTGCATTCAAGGACCAGGAAATACAATAATAATATCTATTGCTCTCTTCTGACAAGAAGAACAGCTGATAAATTTACTACAATACCAAAATACCATTACCTTACTCTGTCCTCATCAAGTTCCTTTTCTATGAAAGCATATTAGGATCAATCTATGGAGAGAAAAAATTTAAAAGGCGTTATAACGCCTTTCGAAAAGGCGTTATTACGCCTTTTCAAAAGGCGCTATTATGCCTTTTGAAAAACCATTTTTATGCCTTTGACATGCCCGTGCTTTTGAAAGGGGGGAGCCTCCCCAAAAATGACTAGCAAACAAAACCCAAGAACCAAAAACACACACACACACCCGAAAAAAAACTAAACTGCCTAAACTATAGCAAGACTATTCTCCCAAAAAGTTGGGTGGGGGAGCCCCCCCCCTCCTCACACTCGTACTACCGGCCTACTTGATAAGGCGTTATATCCAAAAATGGAAAGGCGTTAGTTTATATTAAAAAATATATGAGAGATTGAATGAAAGCCATCTTTATTTATGCAATATTTAAAAGTATTTCCTATTTTCCTGCACATCTCGCAGACAACTGTTTGCATGCGTATAAAGAGAAGTCAACACTCCACTTAAGAAAATCCAGGATATAGGCAGATGCAGCTTGTAGCTTTGCTGGCCATATGCATGTATTAAAAATTCATGTCAAATTTGAAAATATGTTTCTCTCCTCTTGGAAAAAAAGCAGGCAAACTATTTGCATGGATATACTGAGCAATTAGCCTTCAACCAAATTTGTGAAATCCATGACCCTCGATAGAGGTGTCTGGCATCAGAGGAGGACAAAGTTAGTTTAACATTAAAAATTTATTACACATTTAAAAATCTTTTTTTCCTGGAAATCTAATTACAAAATGTTTAAATTATTTTCTGAGAAAATAGCCATATATTTAATTGTGAAATTCATGTCCCGAGGGTAAGATTTCAGCCCCCGGAGTGGGCCAAGTTAGTCATGTATTGAAAATAAAAGGTGGAATAACGCCTATTTGAAAGGCGTAATAACGCCTTTCGGAAAGACGTAATAACGCCTTTCGGAAAGACGTAATAACGCCTTTTTTCGCGTTATTACGCCTTTTCGAAAGGCGTTTTAACGCCTTTTAATTTTTTTTTCTCCATAGATTGATCCTAATAGGCTTTCGTACTTTTCACATCGCACAACAGGTTTTTAAAATTGTCCGAATTTCCTATAACAGACGTTAATTTAGTGCGTCCTTCGAAATTTGGGCGTCTTGCGACGAAAAAGCAACCATAGTCCCTCTTACATTTTGAACAGATTTTTTCAGCAAAAATGACATTTTCTTTGTCACGCTAATTTCAACGTCCCTAGAACTGTTAAGTATGATATTAACTTGGAATATCCAATGTAATAAGTCTGTATATGAGTCTGAGATAACCAAAAAATCTTTCGGGAACGTAATTCCAACTTTGGAACTTGGAAAAGCCTAGATTAAGATTGGAATTACCAACTTTAATGTTGGAAAAACCATGGCCAAGTTTAAAGTTGGAAAAGCCAACTTAAAAAAATACATGGCACAAACGCTTTCGGAAAATCTACTGCCTATTAACACATAATCCATGCATTTACAAGAAGTTACCAGAGACTTCCAATTAATGGCACACCCTGGAAGGTACATTCAAATGTTTCATAATTCAAGAATATTCTGAAAAGTGCATGTTAAATAAGCATTCATAGTACTCTAGACGTTTAAATAAAGTCATTCACAATAAACTGATGAAATATTAGGCATTCCACTCATATATACTACACAACACCATATAATTGTTATGTTAGAATATTGGGAAGTTGGGGAGCGACAACCGATACAAAGAATCACCGATACCAGACCTCGCAGAGTTTGATAAGTTTTGGAGTTTTGGTGACTGTGTAAAACGGGAACCCAGCTTATGCAATTTCTCTT